GTAAATGTTTGAACTACGACGAGAGGCAACAGGGCAGATTTGATTTCTTTTCTACCAAGTCGCGAGCCTCCACCTCGTCTAACATTATATCCCTTTGCGCGGGTGCTTGGAGAAAATTGCAACCCGGGACTGGCGAATAGAATTACGGCACGGATTTCGCCGTTTGTCCTCGATGAAAAATAAATGAGGACGATTCGATATCGTGGCTTCGCCCTCGGGGCACCCTCCGCCCCTCCATTCTCGAGCTTATAACGCTTATCCGGTCCGATGGCCGCCCGAAAAGCGTCCACGGGGTGAACCACCGGGATCTTTTTCGCCATTTAAACGTTGTTCCGTGGAAACACACCTCCGAGGTACAATGGCGGGACAGAGTCTCGCGCTGCTATTAACCTAACCGTGAAAAGAACCAAAGGAATAATAGCGCGGGGAAAGAAGAATAATATAAAAAAAATAATATATAACTCTGGTGCGCGGTGTTTGCGCATTTACGACCCATTATTTCAGAATAATTTCCATTCTTTGTGTTCGTAAGAGTATGTATCCACGGTGTATAATTACGGCGAACGTCATACTAAATACAGGCGAGGGCGAGCATTTTATACGCGAAATCCTGGACGAAAACATTACTCGCGTCGTAAATTGAAAACTCCTTTTAGGAGGAAAAAATTGTTTGAAACTTTCGGGGTTGATTACGCCCCGATGTGAATACCCGCGGCGTTTAGTATTTTGGTGCATTTTATTTCGATCCTCTTTGTGCATCGCGGAACAAAAAGCCGCGCGTGTGAAATATCGAAGATTCGATGCCGAGTTTTTAATTATTTAACGAATCATTTACCACGTGAAAAGTTGTTTTGTAAATACTGTTGCACGGTGCTTGGTGCCGTATAGTATTCTCCGGGAAACTTACCCGAATGAAATTTCAGTCTCAATGAGATTAACAGCTGCTCGCGAATTCTGGTTGAATATTTTTAAAGATGATATCCCTTGACGAGAAACGTCCGCGAAGCTTTGCGGGTTTAGCGGGGCAGCTATAAATAAAGGGTGTATATTATTTGCGGGGAGTATCCAGCGAGTCTCTTAAGAATAAACAGAAAATTGTCAGGAATAAACGTGAAATTAAAAGTCCAGCGTCGAGGCATCTCTGACCGCGATCAGAACGTGGCGCTGGAAAACCCGGATGATCGGATCGGTAAATTTTTTGGGGGGAAAAAAAAGGGAAATCTACACCGGGATACATTTTATCCGGGGCATAACGGTTCGAAGTACAAAATCCGGAGGAAACGATGCCGTAAAAAGCACGCGTCAAAGGGAAATCCATTTTCCGTCGTGAATAAATCATAGGATTATCAAAGAGGATCCCGCCTAAGTGCTCAGTCTCTACGGGGTGACTTTCGCATCCGGCGACGGGAAAAAAAGAAGCAAATCTCGCCTCTCGGAACATTGAGACTATCCTGTCTCTTCCCAACTCGTAAATCCGGTCGCGAGATCGTTCCTCGGGACGCCTGGGCTCGAGAAATTTTGTCTGGATAGAATTTCATACTCGATTCGGGACAAAGCGACCGACAGTTACGCGTTTTCCACCCCCCTACCCTCCAAAAAAAAGAAAACCCTTGTTACGATTCCACTCGCGTCGTCGGAGATACGAACTTGAACTATAACTCACCCCCCTTTGTAATCGTACCGTGCACCCGTCTAAATTAATCTCCCTAATCAGATGCAGAAAACTTGCACGCCCATATTTTACAAACATCGACTCCGCGCGCTGATTTCCTCCGTTTTTTTCCCCCCCACCAGCCTTGAATCTGAATAGCATAATGCTAATCCGATGCAACGATTCTCGACGAAGAACAAAATTACTATAAAAGATCTATTTCCGTGGCGGTATTTATAAAATCTTTTCACGATGTAGCTCCGTTACATCGTACTACGGTATCGATCTTACATCTTGTCGTCTAACAATAAGCGGGCCTTCGCGTGCACGGTGTAAATTTAGAATATTTTATGTTCGAAAGGGAGATTTGTAGCAAAACGACCGCTACAAATTTCACATTTTAAAACACTGCAAACATTGCACCCTAAATGTGTATCTGTAATCTTTAAATCGTATAACGACTGGGGGATATCGATGGTTGCACGCGATGCATTTACCTTACGAAAACCAAGTTCTTCCCTCTTTTCTCTCCACATTTTGCTTTAATTACTTTCCCACCCCTATCGTACAAAATTTCCATCTTTCGTGAAACTCCTTAACCCCTTAATGTTCATGCCCGAGTCTGACTGCTTTGGAAAACAATATTTGTTTGATCCAACGGTTTAAGGGATAAAAATATTTGGTTTCCCTCAAATTATACGTTAGATACAACATTGTAATTAACAAAAACCGTACTTTTAGAAACGAATCCAATAAAGAAAACTGATCATTGTTGGTTAACTCGAAAAATATGAGCGTTAAGGGGTTAATGTTCATGTCCGAGTCTGACTGCTTTGGAAAACAATATTTGTTTGATCCAACGGTTTAAGGGATGAAAATATTTGGTTTCCCTCAAATTATACGTTAGATACAACATTGTAATTAACAAAAACCGTACTTTTAGAAACGAATCCAATAAAGAAAACTGATCATTGTTGGTTAACTCGAAAAATATGAGCGTTAAGGGGTTAATGTTCATGTCCGAGTCTGACTGCTTTGGAAAACAATATTTGTTTGATCCAACGGTTTAAGGGATGAAAATATTTGGTTTCCCTCAAATTATACGTTAGATACAACATTGTAATTAACAAAAACCGTACTTTTAGAAACGAATCCGATAAAGAAAACTGATCATTGTTGGTTAACTCGAAAAATATGAGCGTTAAGGGGTTAATGTTCATGTCCGAGTCTGACTGCTTTGGAAAACAATATTTGTTTGATCCAACGGTTTAAGGGATGAAAATATTTGGTTTCCCTCAAATTATACGTTGGATACAACATTGTAATTAACAAAAACCGTACTTTTAGAAACGAATCCAATAAAGAAAACTGATCATTGTTGGTTAACTCGAAAAATATGAGCGTTAAGGGGTTAATGTTCATGTCCGAGTCTGACTGCTTTGGAAAACAATATTTGTTTGATCCAACGGTTTAAGGGATGAAAATATTTGGTTTCCCTCAAATTATACGTTAGATACAACATTGTAATTAACAAAAACCGTACTTTTAGAAACGAATCCAATAAAGAAAACTGATCATTGTTGGTTAACTCGAAAAATATGAGCGTTAAGGGGTTAATGTTCATGTCCGAGTCTGACTGCTTTGGAAAACAATATTTGTTTGATCCAACGGTTTAAGGGATGAAAATATTTGGTTTCCCTCAAATTATACGTTAGATACAACATTGTAATTAACAAAAACCGTATTTTTAGAAACAAATCCGATAAAGAAAACTGATCATTGTTGGTTAACTCGAAAAATATGAGCGTTAAGGGGTTAATGTTCATGTCCGAGTCTGACTGCTTTGGAAAACAATATTTGTTTGATCCAACGGTTTAAGGGATGAAAATATTTGGTTTCCCTCAAATTATACGTTGGATACAACATTGTAATTAACAAAAACCGTACTTTTAGAAACGAATCCAATAAAGAAAACTGATCATTGTTGGTTAACTCGAAAAATATGAGCGTTAAGGGGTTAATGTTCATGTCCGAGTCTGACTGCTTTGGAAAACAATATTTGTTTGATCCAACGGTTTAAGGGATGAAAATATTTGGTTTCCCTCAAATTATACGTTAGATACAACATTGTAATTAACAAAAACCGTATTTTTAGAAACAAATCCGATAAAGAAAACTGATCATTGTTGGTTAACCCGAAAAATATGAGCGTTAAGGGGTTAATGCGTTCTAAATTCTCAGGCTTCGTATCTTCTTGATATCGTGAGTAAGATTTAAACGCTAACTCCAGCTTAAAAAACTCCTTAAATGTAGCATATATACTGATTTTCGATTTCGAGAATCGTCCCCCAATTCTTTTGGGTGTGTGTTTTTCCCAGTGATCTTAATTCTATAACTAACATCGAGTATTATTCGAACCCCGTAGGCGATCAGGAATAACGTCCAAGAAGGCTTTAAAGCCCATAACCTCCCTTGATCCCGAAGATCACGAACATGTCCTACCCCCTGGAGACACCCCCGCTATCAGGGGGAGTTTTGGACCTGGGAATAACTAGCCCTCTCATCGTTACTCGGGCCATAAAGGAACGAGTACGACAGACCCGGCAGACTAGTTGGGGCATAAGGAAGTTTTCTCCTGGGTCATTCTTACTGCCAGGAGTCTAATACAACCACCCAGGAGACGTGACCCTTCGTTTTACAACTGACAGAAACTCGGATCGTGAGATTTAATGATTCCCAAACACGGTGTTCCCAACAAGTTTCCCTATTCAGGACCTTTATTTGCTAACGATATCTCGTTCGAGTAACCGTAAACAGTGATTTTTCTCCCCTCGATTTTGATTCAATCATTCAAATTCATTTTTAACACGTTTACTGCCACATCAAAACCGTACAATTTTCTACGAGTCCAAAACTTGGATTTTAGACAATCGTAAACTGCATAATTTAAAACTTGTCTTCGGTACTTATTTTCGTCCTATACAAGTTTATTTAACATTTTCAATTTCAATTTCAGAATAAATTGTTTTAATTCCATAGAGGGAAAGTCTTGTCAAAGTGGCAGTCAAAGTGTTAAATCGAATCTGAACCCAAAGACAGTCCCTTAGCAAAGATACCCTTAACAATTGACAATCGGTCGAGCACTTGTGAGAAAGGTATCAAGCGTAGCCCTCTGGTGGCGAGCGCGGGAACTGTCGTCACAAATGCACAGAGAACCTAAACAAACTCAATAGCGAACGCTCCACGAAATAAAAAATTTGCATTGAAACAGATTTGTCCGGTGTAATAAATAAAAATATTTTCTCCTGACTCCTTGAACAATTGGTGAGCCTGAACGTTTGGTTTGCAGCTTTCCTGGCGCCTGGCGGGCATGATTCAGACGTCCAGGTACCTGGAGGCGTTGAAGGTTCTGAACGGTGCTGGCACCGCGACGCACACGGCGACGCCGGGGCTGGAGGAATGCGTGAAGCGTCAGTTGGCGACTTCCGGTGCCCGGACCGGTTCCCGCGAGGTCGCGGAACAGGTGGTCAGCCAGCTGGAGAGGACGCTGTACGACTTTCCGTGTCTGCGGGGATCCGCGGAGGTAAAGAGTTACGCCATTGCGTGCTCCAGTTTGGCCTGGGCCTGTTTGTCGCGCGCCACGCCGCTGGTCCTCGACGTGGCCCAGGCCCTGGAGTTCAGACGGGACTTGCACATCAGACATCACGGGTCCCCGAACCCCAACGGGACCAGGATCAAGACTGTTCTGTGGCCGGGCCTGAGGGAAGGTTGCCAGGGGCCTTGTCTCCATCGGGCGGTCGTCCTCACGTCGTAATTAACACAGTGGAACCTCGTCTATGGGTCAGAGATCCCGTTACAAGCAAAATAAAAAATAGTTATTGGATAACAATTACTTCAGAATTCAGTTTGGATGATAGAGGATCACCTAGAAATTCTGATAGACGAGGCTCAACTGTACGCTCCGTTTCGAATACAAGTCTTCGTATTGCGTGTTTTGAAATTATGCAAACACAGGTTCTTGCATTGTGCAGCTGATAAATTGGCACGATCCATTCCAGTGACATGCCCATCTGCAACGACTTCTCGCGGTCTAAGTATGTTTACACTCCAGCAACATTAATCTATAGCTGACGTCTGTGTCGAAGGTTTTTAATAGCCGTATCGACCTTCTGGAAATTTTGTTACGCGTTAAACTTAATGCACCACCTACGATACTTGGGAAGTTCTCTATTTTTTTATTTAACGCCACGCACCACGATATTTGGGGACAATTGTGCAGGTCGCCATTTTAAAATATTAATACACGGTTATAATTCATGTTACTTATGTTTATTTGTACCTCGATCTTCTGTTCATTGCGTATCCGCTATGCACTATTGCCAAAAGGTCTTTACCCGTATAATAATAATAAACTTTATGCTTACTCGAAGCAACGATTCGAAACATTGCGCAGAAGCTAATAGATGCTGTTTGAAAGAGGTGAAAAACAATGCAAAACAGTCAGGAATGAGGGTAAAAAATTTAGGAAAGACTTTTGGATATATTTTTGACCGATATTATTTTGGTGGAAAAATACTATGATAACGTGCTTTATTTCGTTTGTTATCAAAGTCCACGGGTTGTATCGGAGTACACGATCACGAAGAGCGTCCTTTCACTGAGAATACTCGAAATCGATCCAGACAATATTTTGAAGCAATTCTGCCAAATACGTCTTCGCGAATGAAACTTCAATTCCCATCAATTCAGGAATGGTTTGCAATGAAAGTTCCCAAGTATAAAGGAACATACGAAGATACTTTGACGTTTGCAATATCCACGAGCTGTGCGTAATAAAATTGATGCACGTTCGCCGGGCGATGAAACCGTGTTAATGTTCGAATATTTACAAAGTTAAAAATATCCGAACCGTTGGTTTAAGCGTCGTGCACGAGGGCATAGTTTGTTTCCAACAAACGAAAATAGTTTCTGGAGAGGACTCGCGGATGGCAGACCCGAGCAAACTAATTGAAAGAATTGATAGTTCTCGAGGTCTGGGGAAAGGATTGCGTGTACAGAGAGACGACGACGTCTACGCCATTGGATGCTCCGATTTCCACGCGTGCCTCGTCGCGGTCTTGAATTTCCCAAGGGGAACTGGAATTACATTTATACTCCGTCTTATGTAACAGAAACGCGTCGCGCTCTTTACCGTCGCGAAATAGGGTTTTAGCGCCGCCGGGCGTGATGAGATTCTTTAAAACCGCTCGGATGAGATATCCGAGTTGTTTTCAGAATCACCGGATCTCGACGGATCGGGATTAAGTTCGTGCGAATTAGAGTAGGAGACGCGAGGAAAAGCGTGGCTCGCAGATCGAAAATTCTTGCGTTTCGCCCTATTTGCCCAGGCTTTCCCTAAACAAGATCAAATTACCCTACGGTGATCCAACAGTTCTTAAATATTTATTCAAAATACTGTATTCGATTCTCTAACATTCCAATATTAAACTAAACTAAGGCTATTCAATGCACAGAGAAATTGTAAAGCTTTCTTAACACTTTACCGACCGATAGCCTATTAATCGACTGTTTTACCGGCCAACGCTTACCGACCGATAGCCTATTAATCAACTGTTTTATCGGTCGACGTTTACCGACCGATAGCCGATTAATCAACCGCTACCGGTCGGTAAAGTGTTAACACTAGAAAATTACAGAACTAATGAGTATTATAGCATCGACAAATCCAGTGTTAGCTAAGCTGCTAAAAAGTAGGTATTTACACGGTTACAAACATTGAAATACACTTTGCTAACAAAGTGCATCGCTTTTGATTGACAGAACAAAAGTTTCTAACAGCATGTGTGAAATATTAACCGCGGATCCGTGAACCAAACTGTCGTGTTCGAGCGAAAGAGTTCCCGAAAACTTGTCGATGAAAGTTTCGCGCGACGCAGATGTTGCTTCTCTGCGGCGGCGAAGAAATTTTGCGCGACATCACGGACGAATCGTGTAAGTTTTCGCTCGACGAGTGGCCACAGATGTTTCGGGAACGTCGATACGTCAGGAACGCGGGCAGGTGGCGAAACTCGTCCATATTCGCGTCCCAAATACTTCCAAGACGAGGCTCGCGTATCACGATCCTCTTCATCGTCGTCCATCATTGTTGTAAACCGGTTCACCTGGACGTCTCCGCGGAGACAATCCCCTTCGATGAAGCGTCAGTATGTCTCATTACGTTTATGCCAGTATGTCTCATCGTGTTTACGGGAATTTTTCTCTCGAAAATGGGTAGGATTTCGGGGGTATGTGTATTCACCAAAAATGATTCTAATTGACCCCTGCAACCGAGAATAATTTTTCCAGAACGATTTGAAATTTTGTAATTCTGTCGAAAAATTTCACTCCTTCTCGAATTTTTTTCTTGGAAGTGGATAGGATTTCGGGGGTAGGTCTATTCACCAAAAATGCTTGTAATTGACCTCTGCAACCGAAAATAATTTTTTCAGAACGATTTGAAATTTTTTAATTTTGTCGAAAAATTTCACTCCTCGAATTTTTTTCTTGGAAGTGGATAGAATTTCGGGGATAGATCTATTCACCAAAAATGCTTGTAATTGACCCCTGCAACCGAAAATAATTTTTTCAGAACGATTTGAAATTTTTCAATTCTGTCGAAAAATTTCACTCCTCGAATTTTTTTCTTGGAAGTGGATAGGATTTCAGAGATAGGTCTATTCACCAAAAATGCTTGTAATTGACCCCTGTAACTAAATATAATTTTTTTAGTATGATTTGAAATTTATTATTTTGTCGAAAAATTTCACACCTTCTCGAATTTTTTTCTCAAAAGTGGGTAGGATTTTGGGGATATGTGTAATGACCAAAAACGATTGTAATTGACTCCCGCTGTCGAAAATAATTTTTTTAGCACGATTTGAAATTTTCGAATTTAATTGTTAATAACTTTTTAACGAAGCCTCCATCAACAAATTGGTATTCTTGATTTTCGTCTTATTTTGGCCTCTAGAATCTCGCATTAAAATTTTTCCCAGGGATGGCCGGACTGAGACTACGAGTAGCCAATTGTTTTTGTTTAATAAATTGTTATTAAGAGGAATATAATAATCTTCTATGGGAGTAATAAGATCATTGAAACGCTTCAAATTCGACGGTAAATCGTCCCCTTTGGCGGAGACGGTAATTCTGAATCGCGCATAAATGTATAGTCAGAAACCGCGCGAAGCAATTAAGGATGATTTTGTTCCTTAAACGGTATCATCCTTGCTTAAACTTTAGCCACCGGGATTAGACCCTCGCAGTATAACTCCGCGTTAACGCTGGCTGCTCCTGGTTACCTCAAAGAATGGGAGATACTAGAAATTTTTTGTTAAAGACTCTACGCATTAAATTGAAACTTTTTGTACTAATTAACACTAGAACTACCGACAATTATAGTATGTTATTTGTACCAAGGAAATTGAAACGATAGGTGCGTGAAGAAATGTATGATGCAATGGAAATAAGTGTTTATTCATTCTCTTATAGAAAATTACGGTAAATTTCCAAAAATTCGAGTAAATTTTTTACAGGTTTTATTAGAAATTACGAATGGGTCATTTTGACTGGTTTGGTAGTTCTAGTGTTAATATCCTTATGGAGACGAGACATAAATTTCCTTGTGCAATTTGTTCCAATAGTGAACGAGTTAGGAACACTCTAAAAATGTAAAACAATTTATACTTAAAAATCTGTGAAATTTTTGAAGACGAGAATCTGTGAGAAGTTTTATGGATTTGTCATAGATTAGAAGCAATTCGATCCGTTCTCGAGCCGAGCAATACTTAGAAAAAGATTAGAACCAGATTGCCTAGCATCGAATACACGTGATACGCGGTATGATCAAATACAATCTGTGTTTTTATTGAACTATACGTCTTGGATTTACGAATTTAGCGGCCAACGTGTCGATTCGGGGAACAGATAATGGCCCTTGAAACACGTGGACGCGTGCGCACTTACACGATCGTCCACAAGTCACCGGATATTATGCTCGTTTTGGAAAATGCTGATCTTAGATTTCGTATCGTATGGACCAATCGCTGTTACAAAAATGCTGGAGCGTTGAACACGTAAATTTATTTTAAATATATGGGAGTTTTAAAACCGTAGTTAATCGATTTTGCAAAGGACCCCGCACAGATATTGTGGAAAATGGCCCCCGGTTAAATTAGCTGAACTTTTGGTATGATGTAGTTCATGATAAGTTCCAATGGGCCCAAGCTCGTAAATTTAACAGTTTCCGAGATACGCCTTATTCTAGACTACCACATTTTAGCATATTTGAGTATATTTGTGACCCTGTGGGCCCTTAAATATTACCCCTTAACCCCCTACCCTCTGACTCCCCTTCAGAAGTCAAAATAAACAAACGCCAAAAAAGGTAAAAAATGGTTCATTTTTTCATTGTACAAACATGAAGCACCGTCGGCATTAGCATTAACCCAGTGTGCACCACGAGGAGGTTGCTCGATCAGATTTTGCACAACATGTGGCCCTGAAAAGGACAGTTTTTAGACTGGGATCATGGGAGGCAACGCCACACTCTTATAACCCAAAAGAAGCATTATTTGACCACCCAGATTCCAACAGCCCATTGGAACTTTTCATCAAGACATCATGAACCACATAATACCAAAAATTCAGCTAATTTAACCGGGTGCCATTTTCCATGAGATCTGTGTATTTTATGAAAGTTAAATTGCGGAGACGCGCGAACGGGATGCTAGTAATTAGCTCGAAGGTCTGCGACAGTTCTTAACGAGCCAATGACGAAGCATCAGTACGAATGCAAACGCCGAGCATTCCGATCGTGCCAAGCACTAAGCTCGCTAGGTATGCAACTTAATTGGCAATCCAACGGTCCCGTCCATTGACCAGATAGCATCTGGATGTAACTGACCGTCGCGACGTCAGTTATTCCGCGCGGCGTTCACGCGAGTTCGAGTTGAGGTTAAAGTACCGTAACGACTGGTCTCGGATTTCCAAGATTTATTATAAATCTCATTTTCTATATACATTATTCATACATCGTGTTTCAACTCTCTTCTATTTAATCGTAACAAGTATAAAAGTAAGTGAGCGCTCGGCCTCCGTTAGATTCAACAATCGCGCGTGAAAATACGAAATACTCCTCCCGGGTCGAACAAGAGTTTTCTTTAGAGAGCGCAACAAGTACGTTTCGATAAAAGGAACAGTAAAGGAAAAAGTAGTGTGAAGTTTGATAGAACTACTCGCGTGACAAAAATCAACCTCGATCGAGTCGATTTCTACTCTCGAACGCGTAAATACGTTTCCATTGAGCGTCGAGTATTTGCGTTCAACTTAACACCATTTCTACCAACGGTAACGCCATTTAGAATTTCAGCTCGAACTTATTTTTCGACTCTTTTTTATTTGCATCCAATCTGGTGGAAATAGTGTTGACCGATCCAGCCATGATTTCTCACGCGTCTCGTGTGTCATGGCTACCCGTAAGTTGAACGAGATACCGCAATGGGCGACGAAACTCCTTGGGAGATCTAGTTGAACATTTTTATTCTGTGAATTTGATCGTTTCGTCGCCCGGTTTCGCGAGCTCTATCGATACAGATGGAAGCTAGTTCGTAAAAATTTATCCTAGTATAAATAACTAATGAAAATGTTATTGCAAAACTTTACTTGTACAAAGATATTTGCGAGATGATAAACAAGCTCTACGGTGAGGGTAAATAGAAAACCTTTTCGCAATACCCTCGATTTCTCGTTACCTTGCTTGCCGAAACAATAAATCTACTTTTCCTGCGTTACAAAAGTATCCTAAGATGCGTACAGTACGTATCGAGATTACGAGAAATACGTGTATATTTTCTAACGTGGAAAAAAAAGAAAAAAAGTATAATGATTCCTTGCAACTCTAATGATAAGCTAAAAACAGTCAAAAAGTCAGTCGATCCTTCGTGAGGGGGGGAAAAAAGACACGCCATAGATGGTTGCGTATTTTTTGGAAAAATATAGTCTATCGACGAATCGATTGGATACCATAATTGAAAATTCTCTAGGCTTCTACCGTTTACGCTTTTTTTTTCTATAATTACATTCTGTCATTCGTATAAAACATACTTCGAGTATTAATGACAAGTATAAGACGTAATACAGTAATACATATATGTATATATATATATATATAGTCAAGGTTTAAAAGTTTAATTCTTACGACCGCGATGTCTTTTTGTAAGTGAGCCTCTTTCGTGTGAAATTGCACGAAGTACAGTTTGTGTACAGGGTGCCCTATAACTGGTGGTACTGAATCGAAAATACAGAATAAAATTTTTTCATACGACTCTTTATTCTCGAAAAAAATAAGTTTGAAAATAAAGCTCAGCTCCAGCGATGGCGTAACGAGCTTTGAACAATTAAAACAAAAAATTATTATATCGTTTGAACAATTAAAATTGCAAAACACATTAGGAAACGTTCGATGCAATTTAGTACAACGTGGGCATCACTTCCAACAATTCATAAATTAGACAAATTTTCAAACTTATTTTTTTCGAAAATAAAGAGTCATATGAAAAATTGTTATTTTATATTTTCGATTCAATTTTTCACGTAGAATCAGTTACGGGACACCCTGTATATGTGTCTCGCGAGTGAAATCGGAAACGCACGTTCCAAAGAACAGGAACGCTACAGCGTGTACAAAACTCGAGGAATTCGAGGCAACAGTGTCGTGCGAAGGATAAGGTGGTCGTCGTCGGGTAAACGAAGAAACGTGATCCAGATTTTACAGTCAACGACATAGTAACGCTTGTATAAAAATTCTGGCTTGCCGGGTGCGCGTATGGCACACGGTCAGCTTTTTTTCGCGCGCGAAAATATATACACATATATGTATATATGCATATATAAAACCGTTTAATTTACATAATGGTACACCATTTCTTCGCGGCGCCTTCGTTCACCGACGCGTTGCTCTCCTCGTCCGTAATGTCCACTTTGTTGGTCTGAAATTTCAGATCCGATCGCGAGGTGGACACTTGGATGGGTCTGCGCAGCCCTTTCAAAATGCTGATCGAGGTGTTCAGCAAACTGTTGTCGGACTCTGTTTTTGGTTTCTTCGTGGGGCTCCAGTCGTCGGATTCGAACTTACGTTTTCTCTCTGTCGAGCTGCCGTTAGAGCTGAACACGATGTCCGACAGGCCGGTGCTGTACCGTAAGTTCTTGTAGTCCTCCGCCTCGCTCGGCAGCAACGACACGCTCGAGGTGTTCACGAACAGCGAGTCGTTCGGCGAGTACCTGACCTCGTCGCGTAACGTGACGTAACGCATTCTGTTCAGCGAACGCCTGCCGGAAATGCTCCTCAGCGTTTTCCCGAAGGACGAATCCTTCGACACCTGAGACATCGAGTCGTAGTCCGAGCCATTCGTGTCGAACACCTTCGAGTTGTCTTTCATGCAATCGTTCAGCTTGATCTGCACGTCCTTGAGCATTATGGAGGGATCGTACGAAACGAACGACACGTCCTTCTCGTTAGTCTCCTCCTCTTTCTCCTTTTCCTTGTGAGCCTCGTTCTGCGTGGTGGCCTCGGACACCTCGGACAACTCCGACGTCGTCGACTCCAAAATGTCCACCGTGTAGCTCTCCGTGTCGGTTTGGGACTCGCTCTGCACGTCCTCCTTCTCCTGGGTCTCGTTCCTCGATTCCGGTTGCTCGAAATGACACTCCTCTTTGTTGTTCTCCTTCGAGTCTACGTCGTTCGACTTCTCCTCCTGTGGCTTCGGGGAACAGTCGTCGGACTCGAAGCTCAATACGATGTCGGAGTCTTCGTGCTTCTCTGGCTCGTTGGGTTCCTTCGGTATCTCTGGTTCCGTGGGCTTTTCCTCCTCGACTACCGATGGTTCTTGGTTCGTCGAGATCTCCGGCTCTTTGGAGTCCGGAGTATCTTTGAAAGTAGCGTGATCAACACGCTCCTCGACAGGTTCCTCGTTCTCCGTGGAAACGACTTTCTTTTCATCTTCGTTTTCCGTAGTCGCGTCGAGTTTAACCTCTGCTTCCTCTGATTCTGGCTGCATATTTTCAGGCTTCGATTCCACGCTTTTGTTGGAGAGTTTCTTGTCCTTGGTACTGCCGGGTGGCCTACCGATCGGCTTCTTGTTGTAGTTCAATAGAAACTGTGCCGGCGTATGAAGTTTACCCTGTAATCGATACATTGTTTTATAATTCAATAGGAAAATAATTCTTAAAAATAATTCTTAAAAATAATTCTATGGTTTTAGAAGAAAGTATAAGAGAACTCTCGCTTACCTTAATGGCTTTTCTCTGGTCGGCTGGTATTCTTTTTCGTTGGGTGCTCAAGTTAGACCTGCAACAAGAACATAGACGTTGAAAATCGCTGATAGTAAATTGCGCGCGTATTTTTAGCTAATTTCCACGGAGTAAGAAATTCCGGAGGTGATGAGAGGTACTAGTTTAAAATAAAAAAAAGAAACTCGGCGTAACAGCTAATCCAAAGTTTCTCGTCCACACCTTTCCGAATATTTCCACGTTATGTCGCGCTTGCCCATTCACTCTGAATCGTTCGTTCCACGAGTATTCGTCGCTCCCTCGAATGCATACGCGAAACGTTTAAACGTAATTATAACAGAGGACGAGACGTCTCGATATCTACGCGATAGACCCCGAGATCTTCGTGGTTATCTTCCGCCGAAAGTGTGTGACATTTGCCCCCCCTTTATCCGCGAATATTTCAATGGAAAAAGAAAGGATCGTAATAACAGATAATCCGAGCGGCACAGCGTCGGTTCGCACGAACGCACGAAAACGCGCGATCAAGAGTAAGAAAAATGACTAACAAACGAACGGTGTAACTCTGGATAAACTTTGCCGGGTTTCGTTTGGGCTGATTTTGGTTTTACAAACCTGTTCGGACTCTTGTATTCGCGTTGTTTCTTGTGCGAGTTCGTTTCAGAAGCTTTCGACGTCGCGGTCGTTGCTTCGAGCAGTCTCCGATTGTACAAATTCCTCTCATCGCCCCCAGGGGCCGCCTTCTTTGGCGTCTTACCCATGGTGTTTTAGCGTACGTTTACGTACGCCTTGCCCTGCCTCTACGTTAACTCTCGTATTACTCTCTCCACGCCCTTTTTCTTTAACCGTACGAATACTCGCCGCCCCCCCGCGTAAACCCGGACAAGCCAACGGTCTGCACAGTTTTCCTACAACGGAACGAGTAAATTTATCTGCACCTTACTTCCGTCTTTACGTCTATCGATATATTAGATCTCTCTCTATTTATACACGTATAATTACGTTTCCCGTTTCGCTGCAAATCACTCACGACATTCCGCGCCACACCGGACAACAATAAAACAGAAAGAAGTACAACGAGCACGAACGAATCGTTGGAACGGCGTGATCCGAGGTCCTAGCGTTGCTACGAGGAACTCTCAGAACGCCATTAATGCGCGTCGCTACTCGATTCTTTGGAATCGTAACCGCAAGCGTCAAGATGCCGTTAGGAACGAACCGTACGCTCGACAACCCCGTACAAATTGGTCGGTAATTACGGGCACTGGTCGAACAAAGCCTTTTAATTGGATAGAGATTTTTACGTAACCGATCTGACGAAGATACTCATCCGCGGAAAGTGTCAACGCCGTGCGATATATCGTACGTGCACACTTGCGCAGCCGGCACACCGTTTCGTACTCGCCGTAGTAGCGGTAAATTCCGTTGATGACAAACAATGCGAGAACAGACGCGAATGCACCGGGGCGCTGCCGTCGCGACGCGTTTCACCGACGCAAGTGTGTCACTTCACCGGACGACAAAAAAACTTGTCGGCGCGGTGAAATGTAAAGGCGCGTTTGCGTGTACGACCAGCGATGCAATTGGACGTGCGAGCTGATTGGCGGGAATCTCAGCCATAGCTGACTAATAAAAATGTCCCGCGTAAAAGTTTCTTCTTTGTCTAAGCGAGCAACTTAAAATTAATAAGCTGATATTTTTTCTATGAGTGTGGTCCTTTCTTCTATTCCTAAACATGGACACAGATTTACCTATTGTCTATTAAACGATAAGGCGAACTAATATATCCCCATGACATATGAAACCATCTCATTGGTCTATCGCGTCTCTGCCTAGGAACGTATTGTAGGTTCAGTAAATGATGGATCAAAACATGGATTGACTCGTAATTAATAAATACACCCGTGAACATATAAATCTTTCCAATGCGAATAACATTTTATTGAATACACTGACATTACCGCTATGAAATTAGTTAAAGTTGTCAGCCTTTCTTGTTAGTTATAAATTCGTAGATGTGCTTTGAAGTAGAGATGCCAGATGGAGCCCCGGGTGCACCGGGGTCACCTCACTCCACTTTCTCACCTATACCAGATCACGCGTACGTGAGCTCGTAGAGTTTTAGAGAGTCGACAAAGGCAAACTGATGCATGCCCCCTTTCTCGATTAATTTCGAGGCAACCCGAAGTAATTTCGGGTCGCCTCCTGGGAGTCGAGAGAGGAAGGCTCACATTTGCCTTCTCAGATATCACTTCTGATATACATATCAGGCAACGCATAACGATTACGGCTGGCTACTGCCAGCTTCTCCCAACCTCTGCTGGCTTCTGCTAACTTCTGCTGACCACCGCTTATATTTCTGACAACGTATAACGATTACTACTGAATGCTGCCTGCCTCCACTGGCCTCTACAGACCGCTGCTGACCACTCCTCACACTTCTGACAACGTATAACGACTACAACTTGCTACTGCATCCCTCTGCTGGCCTCTACTGGCCCCTGCTGACCTCTACTGGCCCCTGCTGACCACTACTAACCCTTGTTAACAACTTTTGCCATGATATATGTGTATTAAAACATTGTATAATGTAAATCTATGGCAATAAATGATATAATTACAAAGAATTCTATGTGTTCTCATCATTTTTTACCTTTCTTTACCTTTCCAAATCATTACCTTAGTTATAAGACTCCCTGAAGTTTCCTGAAGGAGTTCCTTGGTTTCCCTGAACCCCTTTGGAAGTCCCGAACCAGCTGGAAAGTCCTGAAACAACTGGAAAGTCCTGAAACAGCTAGAAAGTCCTGAAACAACTGGAAATCCCTGAAACTCAGAACTTTGCGAAAAATTCCAGGGCTTCCCAGTTGTTTCAGGACTTTCCAGTTGTTTCAGGACATTCCAACTGTTTCAGGGCTTTCCAAGTTGTTCCAGGGCTTTCCAGCTGTTTCAGGGCTTTCCAGTTGTTTCAGGACTTTTTTGGGAAATCGGCGAAATTTTCGAGCAAAAATTTTTTGACGAAAAAAATGAATTCTCGATTTTGCCAACAGGTACGAGAGTGACGGTTACAGAAAAACAATTTAAAAGTTAATTTTTTATTTTGGCAGCAAGTACAAGAGCTGGACACTTTGGGAATCCAATTTTAACCGGAAAAACGGTCTCTTAAAACTAGGGCAATGATTTGGAGAGGAAAAGAAAGGTAAAAATGATGAGAAGACATAGAATTCTGTTAAATTATATCATTTATTGTCATAGATTTACATTATACAAGGCTTGAATACTTATACATCATGTCAGAAGTTGATAAGAAAGGTCAGCAGTGGTCAGCAGTGGTCAGTGGAGGCCAGCGGAGGCCAGCGGAGGCCAGCAGGGGCAAGGAGTGGCAAGCAGAGACCAGCAGGGGCAAGCAGTAGCAAGTTGTAATCGTTATACGTTGTCGGAAGCATCAGGGGTGGTCAGCATTGGTCACCAGAGGCCAGCAGATGCCAGCGGAGGCCAGCAGTGGCAAGGAGTGGCAAGCAGAGACCAGCAGGGGCAAGCAATAGCAAGTTGTAGTCGTTATACGTTGTCAGAAGTATGAGGAATGGTCAGCAGCGGTCAGCAGAGGCCAGTGGAGGCAGGCAGCATTCAGTAGTAATCGTTATACGTTGTCAGAAATATAAGCGGTGGTCAGCAGAAGTTAGCAGAAGCCAGCAGAGGTTGGGAGAGGCTGGCAGTAGCCAGTCGTAATCGTTATGCGTTGCCTGATATGTATATCAGAAATGATATCTGAAAAGATGTGAGCCTTCCTCTCTCGATTCCCAGGAGGCGGCCCGAAATTACTTCGGGTCGCCTCGAAATTAATCGAGAAAGGGGGCATGCATCAGTTTGCCTTTGTCGACTCTCTAAAACTCTACGAGCTCACGTACGCGTGATCTGATATAGTGTGAGAAAGTGGAATGAGGTGTTCACGGCGCACCCGGGACACCATCTGACGTCTCTGCTTTTGTAGGAACATTCTTATTCTACTGTTGACTAGATTGCTCGCTGTAATGACTAGCTAATTTCAGTGTTAAAGATAGTGCGATCAAATATGTGTTGTGATTTGTGATTCTACTGGAGTCATTCCAGTAATAAGTTTCGTGGATTACGCGTTGTAATGGTCTGGGGAGTTCAATTTAAAATTTAGTCTTAGAAATTGTCGTAATTGTACTCGTATAAAATAGTTAAAATGAATGTGATATTGTCTTTCATGTTAGTTACAAGTGTTTCGCAGTTAGTAGTCGCAGAATGGAATACGAAAGACTATATGAAACGAGAACATTCATTGATTAGACCGTACCAAGGTTCGTGAATTTGGTTTTGTTTTACGGGACTTACGTTGCCCAGCATAAAACGCTGTGACATGTGATCTTTTCTAATTTAAATTAAATTATTATGCGCTATATTGTGCGATCAAAATACATAGCTATATGTTATAATGATAGGAGTTGAAGGTTACTTTGACAAAGAATACAGTTATTTTGTTCTTTGTATCTTATATATCGAAAAGTTTCAACTACTACATAAATAGGAAATTAGTAATAAAATTTCATATTAGCTAACTTATTAACTAAAAAATTATTTATTTCTTCGTATATAGGGTCTGGAATGACTGTTCCTTACTGGGACTTCTTTGGTAGTACAATGGTAACAAATAACTATATAAGATTAACACCAGACTTACAAAGTAAACAAGGTGCCATATGGAATTCTTACGTGAGTATTTGTTCATTAGAACCATTTTCTTTCAGTCTAAAATGATACTATGCTGTGTAAAGATTCATCGGAACTGTACTTCTTTGTTCTGTTCATTTAGCCATGCCAAGTAAGGAATTGGGAGCTCCAGGTCCATTTCAAAGTTCATGGGAAAGGAACAGACTTATTTGGTGACGGTTTTGTCATCTGGTATGCAAAGGAAAGAATGCAAACAGGCCCTGTATTCGGAAATAAAGACTATTTCCAAGGATTAGCTATCATTTTAGATACCTATAGTAATCACAATGGCCCTCATAATGTACGTATAATGTAAAATAATGTATAAGTCACACAACAGCAATATATAGCAGTTACACTGCAGCATGAAACTGACAAAATTGAAATAAGCAGTTTCAAATTTACAGCACCAACATCCTTATATTTCTGCTATGGTCAATAACGGTTCTTTACATTACGATCACGACCGCGATGGTACCCATACCCAACTTGCAGGCTGTGAAGCAAAATTTAGGAACTTAGAACATGATACTCATATTGCCATACGATACGAGAGAGATACGTTAACCGGTAAGCGTAGATAAATTCGAAATATAAATTTTGGAGCATGAGAACAATTTTACAACCGACATTTCTTAACAAAATACTGTCCGATGTTACGGACGAAGTATCACGCTAGCACGTCAGTATGTTCATAGCAAGTGTTCTATGTAATTATGCTACATGTTATAAAATTTCATATGGCTACCTAAAAGTATACCGAACAAATTATACAGAAATAGATCGTCGTCGCTATCGTCGGTACATGAAACTAATATTATTTATTCTTTTACTTTGAACGCTACAGTTTAAACTATTCAAATAACACTCTAATAAGAACCGAATGATCACGATTCTGTCGTTTGTATAGACGCGATAAAATGAGAAAGCTTTTTAAAGTCATTGATAAACAAGTCTAGCGGAGAGATAGAGTAAAACAAATAAGTTTAAAAGGACATCGAGATAAGTGAATTAAACTAAAATTACGACCTCTGGTTAGGGAGCAATCTATTGATAGGCGCGCAACGTGTTAATAATAACAGTAATTCAATGTTGGCTGATGCTTGTTGTTTAAAGCAAGGGTGTTAAATATGTATTTAATGCGTGTATATGCAATGTCTCTCAACTAGATGAAAGATGCTCGAAATTATTTTCCATGTATTCATATCATTCCGTGTGGCATTCTATAAATTCACATTACAGTAAGGTCTTACCCCGAGGCCTCCTGGCTTACATCATGGAGTGCCTCCACTTCGACGAGTGGTATTTCTCATCTTATCATTCATTATTTATCATCTTTCTGTTCCTACTTTTGTTTTGTGTAGTATTCTGTACTATTACTCATCACGAACTTACACAACTCGCATGAAATACGAGCGTGTAAAATTTTGGGTTTTATAAACATTATATTTCGTTAAATTGATGTTCGATCACTTTAATTTTCTTATTTACAATAAGCATAGAATTTATAGAGAGCATAGATGAGCAATTTAGCGAATATAGAGATTTTCTAATCGATTTCTTTTGCTACAGTTTCCACAGACTTAGTGAACAAAGCTGCCTGGAAGGAATGTATCTCTGTAAAAGATATAAAACTTCCCACTGGCTATTACTTTGGGCTATCTGCGACGACGGGAGATTTGTCAGATAATCACGATATATTATCGATACGTTTGTTCGAGTTAGATCTACCGGATGACGTAAGCGTCGCCTCTGAATATTCTGAAATCCTTTTAACGCGATATTGATCGCTATAATGTATTGTATTAAATTTTAGCCGAGAGATCACGAAGATAGATCCAACATTTTACCCTCGGCTGCGTTTTATGAAGCTCCGCGAGGTAAAATAATAGCTGTTTTTCCGAAAATATTCTTCCCTTTTGTTATGATAATTATACAAATGTTTCTTTGCAGAACACGTAGACGATGTGAAGCAGTCTGCGGTAAGCAGAATAATGTTTTTCTTCCTAATGCTCGTGGGTGTGCTCGCAATCATAGCCTGCGTGGTAGTAGCCATTATGTGGTATCAAAAACATCAGGAGAACAGTAGGAAACGGTTTTACTAAGTCGCGGTACGTTACGAACTGTTCTACTTTCCAATTTATCGTTTATATCGGATGTTCTTTCTATGAAATAAGGTGTAGTTGTAAAGTGTTCATAAGACTGTTTCTTTGGATATTAGTATAGAAGATAATGGTTAATTGTGTCAGTCACTATTTCCGTTTCCGGAGAACTACTTTGGCAAAATATTTTCTACAGACTAAATGATCGGAATAATGTATAAATTGTTGCAGCAGTTATAAGGCGTGTCGAATTATACTATTACTACTCTGGCCCTAATAATGTTTGTCGCGCATAGTACAGAGTTTCTTTACCAAAGTATTCATGCTTTTACGTTGCTGCAATGAAACTTGTAGACTTAAGTTCAGTACATGTATATTGTTGAATTATTCCGATAAGTGTTTGCCAATAGGCAAATTAATAATCAGGAACTGATTTATCACGCATAAACCCGCTCTCGTACGGATCAGTTTAAATCGAGAAACGCAACGGCGACCGCGACGAATTAATTCTAAGAGCAAGGAGTAGATCTATAAGTTATTCCTAGTAAGTTTCGAACTTGCAATATTTAGCAATACTTCAATGAAAACATCCACGCGTGGACAGGATATCCGATTTGAGAAACGAAACTTTTTGAAAACGATAATCGATTTCTATGAGAGAACATTCTGTCTCGTTTTGTCTTATCACATACATGGATCCGATATGATTGAAAAAGACTTTATTGATGTAGATTTTATATTTGTACATAAACAAACGAAACGTTATCAATATGGAATAGTTGTAGAGTGATTTCATACTGTACAACTTTTTTTATACAAAAACTAAGATAAAGGGAACCAAAATCTACGAATAAACAATTGTCTTGTTAAGAAACGTAATGTTGTCATTTGTGAAAATAATGTACGTCATTTGTTGCCAAATACAAAATAAATATGTATTAAATTGTGTAAAAATATTAATTTTCTTTTGTTTGTTTGTTATAAAAATAATTTTTAAAGAAAGAACTTCGGAAACCTTTATAATAATATCCTAACAAAATATTTAGTCTAACAGTAATTTTACTTTTTAAAATATATTTTATTATAAATAATAAACAAAAAACATCAAGGCACATCTATATTTGTCTTTTTATCTCGTCTATACGTCTTTTACTATTGTCCTGATATGACGTGTAGCATGACTGTCTCCGGTATCCTAACTAGACAGTTACAAGACTCTTTTTTAAATTGTTTATGTTTTCAATGTCTAGACACTTAACATCAATTTAATAGCAACCTTTGACACCTACGCATCGTATGTGTACATATATATCTTTACTACTTCTATAAATACATGTAATATTCATGACATTTACAAGAGTAAAGATATTTCAACGACTACATTATAGTCCCGTAATTCCATCGAGTTTCATAAATCTATGTGAACGTTTAAAAGATGGTAACGTTAAGTTCTAAGAAACTGAACATCGACACTATAGGTACTCACATCACATTCGTTGTAGATACATTGTTCATAAACGTGGATCAACTTTGTTAATTAGACGCGAATGATGTTTCTCGTTAAAATTTAGCGTTACAAAAACTGTGTTAATATTTTATTGTTGTGTTAAAATAAAGTCAAAGAGGTCCCCCGCCTGCTTTGATTTTCCGAAAACGGAATAGAAAAATATTAAGCGCATTTGTCTCTATTACCGGCAGTAATACTTACGAAAATATGTCGATCTTAAAATATACATATATATAAGTGTACTTTGACGTAGAGATATTTTACGAGTTTTCGCTGAAATTCTAATGCCTGAGGCGTTGATAACATCAAAATATGCCTGCAATTTTTCTATATAGACTTACGTACACGTGTACATCAATTAAAAAAGTATTTCTTTAGGAGTATTTACTTCGGTATCTAAACGAGAATAATTTCTAATTCAATCATAATAAATCTACCAATAACTTCTATATTAAAAACGATAATATCATTCTTCTAACTTCTTTGTTTTTTTTTTTTTCTCCATATAGCGTATTTACTTCTATCTATTTCTGTTTGTGTTTCGTCTCTTTTTCTTACGAAGTCTATCACGCGGATATCTTGCGACAGACATACCCCAACGAATTTCAAGTAGCTCGAAATAAAATTCCCCAAGACACCATCGAAATTTATATCTCGACGCAAACAATTCTATCTAAAACGTTCTGAAACAAACATTTCGATTCGGCACATTACGATTATTTGAACATCACGATAGGATTTAACAAAAAGTTCAGAACTGTCTTTACGCCCAGGCAGAGGTCGCTTAAAATCGAACTCAACGTTATATGATATTTGTAGCGTCTGTAAGATTTTAACTGATTGGAGTGACACGCGATGCAACCGATTTCCTCTAATTGAATGTGCGGCTCGGAACCGCCTAGCAATGATTCCTCCCTCAAACCGTCGTTCAAGAGCGTGCCAGAAAACCAAATTTTGTCCCCCGGGTACATATTCAAACTAAAATTGGCGAAAGAATGATCCGTTACCAGCACAACCTCCGCGTTGTTACCCCACATACCGCTTTTCATCTTCACCGAGATCTCGAACTCGTAGTAATTCCAAACGGGAAAGTGACACTTGTTCCTTCGTTTCTGAATGGTCGCGAAATGTTTGCAATTCTTCTGCCGTAACTCGTCGGCGGTGTTGCAATTGTTTGAATACGGTTCGCCGTACATACAGCTAATCACGTTTCTAATACTGTCAGGTAATTTGTTAAATATCACCGCGATGCTGTTCTTTATTGATCTTAGTTTAATATTTGTCACATAACCTTCCCACGAAACCAGTATTCCCTCCAAATCTGCGCACTGGACCTGTACTTGCGCTTTGGACGACAATTGTTCCCACGCAGGTTGGTGGCAATGATTCTGGTACTGTTCCCACGAGAGCGTGGACAGAACTTCGTACGTGTTGGGCTCTTGTTTGTATTCCATGATCATTGGCCAGGACAAAAACATACCGGCGCCAATGCCCATGAACAACTGTAACGTAAACGAATGGAAAATTGTATATAAACCCGGTTATCTCTGCGATGCACTTACTTGGATAACGGTGATGATCCAATTGAACTTGGGAATTCTAGTTTTCCTTATGTACCAGGAAGCAAGAAACGGCGTCCCTCCTAGCAACGCAGTTACGGCCACTCTCATTGCTAGATCGCTTTCCGACAAATATTTCGCAGCAGCCACGATCGGCAAGATGATCGACGCCAACCCCGCGAGCGGCAAAAAGAGTACCATACCGACCAACGCCAGAGCACCCCTGATCAAGCCATACCAGGTTGCACCTTGCGAACTAAAGATCGCTATTTGCCACCAACTTAAGGTGACACAATGAGGTATCAGGGTTTGATAAGTTCCCCGCCAATTATCCTGGGCGGCCATTTTTGCGAAAACCGCTGGGATCAAAAGATAGAAAACCGCACGGAAATTTAAACAAAATTCTATACCGTTGCCAACGACGTACGAAGCAAACGTTGGCACTCTTATGTCCAAGAACCGCCATCCCTGAGCAACCACGATATCCATTTCGTACGGATACTTAGCGAGAACGTGAACACCGAAACTAAAGAGAGCTAAAAAGTCCGGGAATTTCGAGGAGTCTTTCCACAAGAAATTCATGAGCGTCACCAACGTTAAAGCGACCGCGATGATAGTGAACTCCGACTGAGGTGTCCATTGATGAGCTATGATCGGATAGGTCATTAGATTCACGAGCAAGGCGAGAAAAAAATGACCGTAAGGTTTCAGATTATTGCAACAGTACTGGTACTCTGCTTCTTCGGGATTTAAATTGCCGCTCGAATAACTGAGGAACAGACCCGACCAGACGCGGAAATTATTGAACTCGCGTTTTCGTTGTAATATTTGAAAAGTGGCGATAACCATTACGACGAAAGACAAATAGTATAGTGCCAACGGTACGAAGAGTATGATGTTTTCTGTGCCTAATAACGAATACAGTAAGAGCAATAATAATATATGTATATTCGATGTGAAAAGAATTCTTCTAATTGACATTCCTCTTTGACCTAACGTTTCTATCAACCAAACGTAAAGACGTTTCAACGACGCGAGGGGATGAACGAGAGGCCTTTGCAACAATGGTACTGTATCCAGTGCCATTTGCGACGAGTCTACCATGCACAATGCGTGCGAAACTATTGGAAGCATCCCGCGAGCGTAACTAGCTGCAGCGGAGACCAGGGCTGCTTCTGAAATCTTTTCTCCCTGATGATGCACCCAATCTGTAAATGCAACGTACAAAATCGAGCTATTAAATACTGCCAATCGAAACGAAATATTGGTACAATAAGCGTTTTCTCACCGTGGGCATCGTTTTCCTTTTCCTTGTCTTTTTTAGACGTCGAGTCATCGGGAAGCCCGTTCTTGGGGAAATTGTTGCTTGAAACATCGTTTCCATTTTTTCTAGGATTATTGCGCACGAGGTTGCTTGAGCGAGAACAACTTGCGTCATTGGACGAATTTGATGCTAAATCTCTCATTCGTCTTTGTAGCTGCTCTGTTGTGATAAAATCTTCTCCGTTCGAGAGACTGTTGGATAAATAATTGCAGATATATATACAAGCTAATCGAGTAGATATAATTTAATTTCTTATACCTAGTAAACATTTCCCTAGCTGCTTTTCTAGCCAGTTTCTCATCTTGAGTCATATCAAGGCAACTCTTTACATCGAAGTAATTATGTTCCGTGATACCACGACCAGTAGCTAAGCATTTCCTAAGAATATCTGTTGCTTCCAAGTTACCCTGCTCTGAAGCTTTTGTGAGCCAATATACACCCAACTTTGCATTTTCTTCCTTGTCAACATCCAGATCTAAATATAAGATCCACGCATGATATATACCGTTTAACAAGACACGTAAGGATGCATTGAAAATTTGTACCGTACCGCATCTTTCTTCCAAAAGTTGTTTAGCCAACACTACTTGAGACTCCGGGCATCCATCTTCGGCCAACTGTGATCGTAATCTTCTAAGAAATCCACCTGGTCCATCTAAAATTACGTAGAGTTTAAAGTCCTAAATCGTTTTTATTTTTCAATCGTTAAAACGAAAGGAAATTTCATTATAAATATTGGTTAAAACGCAACAATGTTTCACTAATATTAAGAAAAAGTAATATCAAACATTCCTTCTTCTATATGACAACCGTTAAATATTTACGTTCGTGAAACAACGTAACAGCTAACTGACATATTTCATGCAGTACGTAATATTATTTCGAAAATCGAACGAATTATTTCTCATTGTTCGTCAACTATCTTCGTTTTGTTACAGCCGGCACGTAATGCGTTTCGTTGGATCGCGAAAGTTAACGGAAACTGCGAGTCTTCGGATAAAAGTTGAAAGTGAAATTTATTCATGTTACCATGCAGGGTCCATTGTTTTCTTCCAGATTTGCCAGATAATGGTACAATGCCAGCCATGATTAAAAAAAATCTTAGAAACGATCGTTCGGAATCCTCTCACTTTGCGTATTAATCCTGTCAAACAAACGAATCCGACCGCTGTCCAAAAATTCTACCCCAATACACATTTAATACCGCTTGACAGTGTGTCTGTTAACAAATTGGCACCTCGAAGCATGGTTCTGTGACACGCACGCGCAATCATAACAAAGGTTAGGTTTTTAATCATTCGAGAACCAAGGAGCGCGATTGATGCTCCTACTGCTATGGATTTAAATCCGTAATACATCTTTAAAATCATTCTAATTGCAGAGTAACAATAAGGTAATGTACTTTCTTCGGAAGAGTCAGTTAATGGTTATGTTCAGCGTTTTATTTAAACAAAATTTATTATAATTTATTAATGATGAGTATTCTTTATTGTAACAATGATTAGAATATAATTAATCTGACGCAATAGGGATCTTTTGAAATCATCAAAAGCATCGGGACAGTTGCATGCATATTATACGTATAATTATATAATTTACACACGCATAAATATCGTTTACCGTTACATAGATATATTATTACTATTATTCCGCATAATTACTGTATATCTATAATTTGTATAGTCTGTGGGTAGCTTTGTACATTCCGTTAAAGGAAATTTGAGAGTAAACAAAATAAAATATGAGTGTACATATTCTCGTTCGCGTTAGATGGAAAAATGGCGGCAGGCTCGAGAATTCGTAACGCAAGAGTACGATAGCAATGCAGATGAATTCTGAATGATATATACAATGCTTTGTAACAAACAGATAGTTTACAAAATTCAAATGCCAGCTTGCTGCATTGAACGCGAGATCCCCATTTTTGTCGTTGAGTATTGCACGGCGTGTAAGACTATTTGTTGCACGATCTACGTAACATCAAGCGTCGTGTTTCTCACAATTGTAAAAATTGTTTATTACGAGTACTGATCCTGTAGAAATGGACGACCCGGAGCCAGTTTCGACGATTTTGCGATTCCCCTCGGTAGTTGCGACAGAAAAGGTTATTCGTTCAGCAAAACCACGTCTTTGCTGGCTCCTCGTGTAGTCAGAAATCGGCTCGAACCCCGGCCCTAGGTAAAAAATTTTCAAAAATGGTGGAAAGCGTCGAAATGTGACACAAACTTACAGGTTGCTTGGTCCTGAGTACGGCGGCGGATTCGGTCGAATGTACGGATTGCAACGTTCGTTGGATATCCTAAAGGAAGAATGACGTTACTAAAAAGGCTGACGCGTGTTAAATTCGCGACAAAGGATACCTGGGACTTCGTGACAAAGAATCGTTGGGGCTGGAAGGTCGCGCCGAGAGCGACTTCAGTGTTCCTCTTTCACTGGCGGCGTATTGGACCATTTGTATGTTATTGTTGCTAACTCCTTCCCCTGGCGTGCTCTCTCTCTTTTCGCTGCGAGACAAACAAGAGAAACACAATTCGAAGATCAAAAAATTATATTATTATGCGATCGCATCTTTCAAAGCTAGCAAAAGTTGAAAATTAGTTAATTAATTTCGATATCAAAACAAGGGAATAATAAAGTACCGTATTGGGTGCTCGGCCATCCATGGGAAAAATTTTAATGAGAGATTCCAGAGGCCAAAATAAGGCGAAAATCAAGAATACTAATTTGTTAATTGAGGCTTCGTTAAAAAGTTATTAACGTTTAAAGTTCCGCCTGTGGAACGGCAATCTGCGTGCAGCTGCGCACGCGCGATAGTGGTTTCACTGCATGCACAGGCGCAACTTCAAACGCTAATAACTTGTTAACGAAGCCTCGACCAACAAATCGTTATTCTTGATTTTCGTCTTATTTTGGCCTCTGGAATCTCCCGTTAAAATTTTTCCCAGAAATGACCCAACACTTCGTATCTGTAATATTTAAAACGCGTTGGAGAAATTTTCGTTTGTTTCGATTATTCGGGATCCACTATGCGGGGGTTAAGTTTCATAGGTAGCTTCTTGAACGCCGTTTGTTAGTGCGCATTAATGGCAAATCACCAAAGTAATTAATACGAGTTAATGTCATCGTATCGCGTGTACCTGGTCACTTGTCTATCGTCGAGAAAAATGTTAAACAACTCGTCGAAATACTCTTCGGACTCGGGATCGTTCCTACGAAGACAAAAAGAGACGTGAGTCGCACGAGGGTGCGCGGATAAAAGAAAATGGTGGACGAATAGAAGCGTTTTCGCGGACCGTAAATCCTTGATCGTTCAAACAGATCCCGCCCATCATCGTTAAATGTTTACATTTTTCCAATGACTCATCGCACTGATGACGCGCGCGTCCTATTCCTGTTTCTTTTTTTTCGTTCGCTTTACCCGCATTATCTGCAACCTAATGGCAATTACCTTGATCGCGTGCGTAGTTCACGAGCCGCGGCACCCTTGAACGGCAAGGTAATTTTATATCGGACATTTCATACGCGATCGTTTCTTTTACATTGTGTGACGTCCGAACGAAAATCGAAACTCCGCTTGGAATCTCACGGTCCGCTTAAAACCTTTGTTATTAACCGTAAACGTGGTCGATGAACCCACACCGCGCGTTATTATTTCTTATTCCCGTTTATCTTTCGACGAGTCTCACGATTTCCCTTTCATGTTTGCTACAAATAGAGACGAGTGCTTGAGACAGGTAAAAATCTGACCAACTATCTACATCTCAAGAAGCCGAGATAGCGACGCCGAGGCAAACTGGCCAGGTACTGTGCAGAATGGAGGATCCACTGTACGATCCAAGACTCAGCGATTATGAGCGAGTTAACGAACAAATTATATTAATATCGTTTGAAAAAATAGATAATTTTTCAGGATTTAAGGACGACCAGAAACAAGATGGAAGACATCATCTTCTGTATATTTTTGAATAGAAATTCTGTAAAGTTGATTCACGCGATCAGTAGCTAGAAACGTTTGTACGCGGAATTGCGCGTTGAGAGTACACTTTAATCATCGCTGCAGTTAGGTGTGTTCCCTTCCGAGAGAACCAGCAACATTTACCGATTATATAGCGATCAATTCTACGAACGTGATTACCTTCCTCGACGCAACGATGCGAGTAATTGTAAATGAAGCTCGCGCGATCGTTCGAATCGCGCAACAAAGGAGCGTCGAGTGCCAGGTACGAGGGAAAAATCTGCGCGATGACCAGCCACCGATGACGCGCGAACGATTAAATAATGCGCCGCAGATTCGAACGCGCCAGCATAGAAATTTCGACAGAACGAACGCGTTATTAGAAATTAACTTTCGAGCCACCGATGGGCGTTAAATCGTTCAAATTCGAAACGGGAACGTTACCGATCTGTTCTATTTAATCATCAGGCCCAGAGACGCGCGAGCAATCGGACGGATCGTCGTTGAAAGACGAGAAGCGTTAAACACATTCTGGCCCGAAGGCTAATTTGCAGTTTGTCGATGATGTATAATTATTTTATGGCTGTCGTTCGTGTTTCAACGCTAGTCATTACCGCGTCGTGTCGTAAGCGAACGCGCGATCGGCAAGAATAATAGCTTTGCATCTCGATGAAATCTTGAGCGAGTTATTTTTAAAAATTGTAGACGGACGACGATCGGTTAAACTTTAACTTGGAGATGATTTGCATAATAATGGTAAAAATAATGAAGAGATCAAGCACGTTTGACCGAGTCTGACGTGCCTGAACTTCGAAGCGATTTACTGCGTCACGGGTGCCATAGATCGCTCGTGACGGCCGATCTGACCGTCGATCGTAAGAAACGATCTCTGTCTCACGCGCGGTCACTTACCCGTGTACTACGTCTTTCTACCTGCGCGTGATATTCATAGCAATGCAATCGCGACCGGGGTCGCTACTTCCTCGTTGGGAATCGCCGAGTTGTGTCGCTTGTTTGTGCAATTTTGTTTCCTTAGTTGCACCGAGCACGATTAAACCAAAGCATTTTTAAAAAATTTTAAAAGTTAATAATATGTCGTACGCGACGCGACATAGTCTCTAAACATTGCATCATTACAACGTAGCCATCCTATTCAAAATATTACTAATAGTATTCCAAACATATTGTAAAAATTCTCTTTTACCAGAATAATATAAATATAAATAAACATATATATGTTTATAAAAATAAATAATATAGAAGTATCATTTCGTCGACAAGTATTTGATTTCAACTTTGTTCGAGCCTCGATGGTCTAACAAAGTACTAGTTTGTTAGTTCCCGTATTATTCCTATTTTACACCATATTAGAGAAACAAATGAGTCGCATAATGTATTATCATCACCAACTACGAGCATATCTAGTATCGTTAATGAGCAAGGCGTGTTATGAACATATACTCTAGCGATAACTTTAAACTTTGTCCTACTACATAAACCTCGTTTCTTTCTTTTATCGCTTTAACATTTAAATCTTCAACGAGGAGCTTTATCTCAGCTTCCCTGTGAAAATTAGTTTAGTTCTAAGCAGATCGATATGGAACAGACGTGAGAACAAATCGCTGTCCGGTGTTCTGATTCGTGGTGTGCTGTTCGAATGAAACGTTGCCCGCCTCCGCTCGAAACGAAGCTCGAATTAATCGGTCGTGGACTCGTACGGTTTTATTAGACTCGTTGCACGTATGTACAGTGCTGGTCATAAGTATACACAGCATGGTGTAATGATACAAATGCACATAACTGCTAAACAAATCGACTTGAAGGAAAAACTTTTTTACATGTTTGTTTACTATCTGTTTTAGTTTATTACATAACAAAAGTATTGGCATACTGGAATAAAAATATTTAAAAATTACTTGGAATTAAATATCAATATTTAGTTGGCCCTCCACTTCCTTTAATCGTTTGGGCATTGAATCAACTAACTTTTTTGTAAAATCCTCAAGTCTGCTTTGTTTGTTATGTTTTCTAATTCGTTCCAGACATGTTTGATAGAATTCATGTTTGGACACTGGGGTGGTGTATTCAGGGAATGAGAAATATTATAAATAATCCAATGGCGTGCAATGTAAGGATAGCGTACGATTGGAAATTTTTAGCATCATGTACCAATGCTTTTGTCCACCCATAAAATGGTCAATAAATTTTTGTTATATTTTATGAATCAATGTATATATATTATTGCTTCTGTTACGTAATAAACTAAAATAGATAACAAACAAATGCATCAAAAAGTTTTTCCTTCAAATCAATTTGTTCAGTAGTTACAAGCAATTGTATCACCACAACCATGCTGTGAAAATACTTATGTCCAGCACTGTATGTGCATACGTACGCGTTCCTGTTAAACGGGATGATTTCGTGCCTCGTATACCGATTAGTCGCGACCGAGAACTCGTCGAAGCAACGATACACGCCTCTGGTCGCGTCTACGATAAGTGAACTGTATATTAATCGACGCCGCGGCGCACGGGTCGCGAAATACCGAACTTCTGTCTATTTATACCCCGCGATCAGTATACACGTGCATGCGTGTAGGAAAAATCGCTTATTTATTTCTGTTTATAAACATCATTACGCTCGCTTACGTACAACCGTATTTATCATACCAGTTGTACAAACATCCTCGACGCTCTGCCCATTAAAATCGTTCCCTTCCTGTATACGGCTATTTTTAATACTACTTTGCTTTCAACCTTTAGACCATTGCCTATTTTCTTATACGTTACACATTAGAAAAGAAATATTACAATTTCTAATTACTTAAATCAGAGCACCAAAGTAACAATTTTAGAACGTCGATGATTCAAAGCAGTGCATTCAGGATGCATCTAGAGTAAAAATTAGATCAATAAAAGCATTGAAAATGCATAAACGAAGTTGTACTTGTACCGTTCAACGAACAAGAATAACACCAATTTCGAAGTGTTCGCGTTTTCTTTAAAATATTCCCAATGTTAAAAACGCGCAGTTTAACGATTCAAGTATCTTGGAACGCGGTCCAGTCGAAGGAGCAGCATAATCGAGCGATCCGATCGCGTGTCACGAGTTATTACGCCCCGGTATCGTTAGCCGGTTTAAAGGTCTGCGAAATGACCTTTCGTTGGCGCTCGAACCGATTTGGACGTGCCATTACCGCCTCGAGCACCGGTGAACGCGTTACTGTCCATGAATTACCTTCGCGCGCATCGATTACGCTTATCGAGGAACGCGATTCGCTGTGATCGTATTTTCGATCGTAGCAGCGTCCGGCGCGTCACTGCTTGACCGGAGATATCGTGCTTATGAATGAAACCAGTCGGAGTGGTATCCCCCTCCCCCCACGTTGTCCACGTCGCCCCTACCACTCGTCCCCGTTGCTTATATGCAGCTATACACGCTGGAATTCATTCCCCGAGCACGTGGTCCGCGTGGAATGACAAATGCAATTTCGGTCGACGTTCCCCGGCGCACGTACTCGAAACGGTACAAGCGGAAAATGGACAATCGTAACGGACAAGAGGCAGGTCCGTGTCGGAGACGGCGAACAAACACACGGTACAGCGATTCAGAGACTTGCAATTTCTTCGTGGGAAAGAATAACTTTCCTAGAAATTGCTAGACGCTCGTAACAACGTTGCAGCTAGAATTTAATTGCAGTCGTCATTTACTACCTAACTTACGTATAACTTAACACTTTAATGGCCGCACGTATCACGCACTGATAGCGTGGACCAAAGTGAGATACACGATGATGCTAGGAATATTATTACAAGGAATTATAAATGTACTAAGTGACTGATACAGTGGCCAGCGTCTGCTAGCAAAGTCACGTGTACGTGACAGCGGCCGTTAAAGTGTTAAATATGATCCTTGAGTTCTCCCCTAAGACGATGCAGTTTTCCACCGAGCTCCTCGTAGATTCTAATTTCTATTTAATCCAGCGAGTGAGAAGTTGTTTCGTTTTCAAAGGGTTGCGCGCCTCGGGGATTACGGCCCGTACTCACATTTTCTCGTGGTTCAGGCACAGCACGGTGCTGAGCAACGCGGCCAGCACGAGAAGCAATATCGTGGGCACGAAGATCGTGGTAACGATCTCGTTGAAATAGCTCCGCGTGGGAACGCTGGCTTTGGTCGACCTGGCCCACCGCCACTCCGTGTGCTCGGAGATCCCCGAGCCGGGCAAATCCATCGCGTTCACGCTCGGTCCTTGGCTCGCCCAGCTTTCGTGCTGCAAGCTGTGCTGCTCCTTCTCCACCTAAATTGAGATAATTAGAAAAATAGTTGGTTGACAAAGTGTGGAAAGGTTCCGGTGCTCACCAATCTGAAGGAACACCAATCCAGGGCAAATTCCGCTTCTCTGAAGAGCCTCTCCACGCTGGTACGCTTGAAATCCCGGGGGCACGAGGGCAACTTCCACAGGGGCTTCACCTCTTTTTGCAGTTCGTTCAGCTCCTGAGAGAATGGCATCGAACTGCCTAGCCTCATAACGACTCTGTTGCACAAGAAATAGAAGTGTAACGTATGTGGGGCTTCAACCACTAAGCGGATCGCGCATTTTATAGGATAAATATTATACGAGGCATGAATCTCTATTTAACATTATTTTCACCGAAGGTGTCAGAATATATTTTATATTAACAATTATTTGCACTCAAGTGCAAGACTACTCCATCTTTTACGAGAGTAAAAATTGGTTTCATTTCAAAGTCGATGAACGATGACGTGTCAGGGGTGAATACTACCGAAGAATAATATTTTCCTGGGTAATCGACGAATACTAATAATATTGCGCGCGATAGATGGCTTCGAAATAGCAGCAGGAAACGGGTTACTTTATTTTCACGGCGTGGAAAGAACCGAAGCTCTATTTTCGTACGGCGCGTTTAGAAAATGCGACGCTCGACGAACAATGGGAACATCGTCCGCTCCGAGCGCAGTTTTCTCCGAGGAGATCCAACCTTTCCCACAGCCAAAAAATACCGGTGGAATTCGTCTACATACGTGCCCGGTGGCACGTTCGACATCGGTTTCAAAATTGCGTCATCGTTTTCCTGCTCGCGCGTTATTCCCGGTTATCTCGATCGGGGAGAACCCCACACGTGTTTTCCGTTTTCCGACATCGAGTTCGGGGTCTCGAGGGGCGTTCTTCGCGGTGGTCGGTGCTCCACGGAAGCTAAAATTATCTACATCTCCTTCCCCGAGCGTTTTTTGAACAGGAATCCCAGATCGGAATACATCGACGTCGATTCGCTTCGAAATTACGCATAAAAACTATTTAGAAATGTGTATGCCTGGTTTGGTCATCGCTGGACTCGCTATTCTTTTGCTACGTCATCGGTGACGAAGATTCCCTCGGAAATTCTGCGTCTATCAAAAAATTCCACCGATAAAAATGCGCGACTACTTCGGTATTCGTTGGAATATATTCTTCAGACTATGTCGATCTATGTTTTCCAAAAATTATGATTATTTTGTGATTCCAAAGCTAAGGTTCGAAGAGCCCATCGCTGGTTAGGCGATCCTCGTGCTCGTGTTATCGATACCATCGTTACACCCACGTTACTCTCTGGGAACAAGGACCAGGGTGTCTCGCACACCGAAGCCGCGTTTGCCCGTACCGGGTCTCCATTTTGTTTACACGATAACGAAAATAGATAATGCAATCTCGTCGGATAATCGCGATATCCGTCGAGGGACTGTCGGTTGGCCAGCAGTGTGTTTCCCGTCGACATCTTCAACGCTTGTGACGATCGGTGGACTCAGCGGTTCCGTCGAGAGCTAAAATAGCTTTTTATTTAGCAATCGAGCAAGTGGTAGGTCTGAAACTACACACGAGAAGTCTCCTACAATCGTTACTATTCCATAACTGATAGAAAAGAAGCTCAAACTATCCACAATTTTTAAACAAATATGGCGTGAATCGGCGTAATATCGGTTTCGTGGACACCTTCGCGTATCGTCCGAGTGTTAATCGAAGATAAGCTAAATTCTTGCCCAGATAAAAGTCTCGAACAACGAATAAAAGATAAGAGTTTCCTTCTTTTACATGTACACAAAGGAGTATCGATCTATTAAGAATTATTATCGTTAAAAAGAGAACGATTCAAACGACTTGGATCGCGGATTAAGAACCTTCCATTATATTTGATTACAAAACATCCGGCTGGATTATCAAAGCAACGACTGTTTCGTAACCGAGCGAGATGTATATGGAAACCATTGTCTCCGCGAACGATTCGATTCCGCGGGCAACAATTGCAATCTGTTTGGTCGCGCAGGAAGGAAGTCTTCCTACGCGTAGTAGCGTTCCAGCGTCGTTTTTCGCGATCGCGATCGAAGGTTCGGCATTCTGCGCGTCGACACGTGCGAACGATCGCGTGAAATCTGTTTAACAATCGAAAGAGGAACGTGCGCGAAAACGACAATCGCCGATGCCATTGTGCATCCGCGCGTACGCGACGAATCATTCGACCAGAAATAAATGCTTATCCCTCGGGTAACGGTGAGACCGATGACAATTCGTTACTCATCCGCGAATCGTGCTGGTGATAGTGCATGAAATGACTCCGATTTGGCGGGAAAGTGACGCAGAATATTCGCCGGAATCTTCGTCGATTTTCTGCGGACGACACGCTTCGCGAAAGTCGCCGCTACCGATCCGAGAAACGACGGAGATGATCGCTACCAGCTCGGTGAGTTTTCCACGAATCTGTCCTAAAGAATTATTCATAAGTCGAAGCGACATCGGCGTAGAGATAACGCGAGATACAATTTTTCATGAGATTTTCCCGCGAAATCGGTTATCGGAATACATATTTGTGTTTCTATTCATTCTGAACGTTCGTGACAAACAAAAGGTTCGAAGGGGTTACATAATGAACTGCTGAAAATGCGAATAACCGATGATGGACGGGGCTTTCGAGCGTCCCCGAAGATGACTATCTCTAATGACGTATGTACGCACGCGTTTTAAAGTTGCGCACTGAAAGATTTCGCCTCGATCGAGCGTCAAACCGACGTGCTGTCGCAAGACGCGAAAACTTATTAATACATCGGCCGCCGCGACGTTTACACCAGAATGCGAAATATGAAACAAAATATCTTCCACGGTGCGGAGTTTTAAATACATTCGAGTAAAAAATCGCATCGCTGGATCATAGTCTACGCACAGAGCTATAATTTACCCGTATTTGTTTGAAATGAAAATGTAGTTCGACGAGTAATGGAAACATTAATAGTCTGTTGAATTATTTAGGTCTGAAATAGTGAAAAATAGTTCCAGAAAAAGGTTGTTATTGACTGAATGTTTGTAAACATGTTTACACACAAACATGCAATGTAATCCAACGATCGTGATCGGGATTTTTTAACAAATTTTCTTTCCCGATTCAACCAGAGAAGAATTCGCTGTGAGCGTTTTAGAACGCGTGTCGAGGACGTGATAAAATTTTCATCCGCGCCAAGAACCACCCTGGAGTATGGTCGTCCCTGTACGGCCGATATCGCGCAACGCCGTGCATAGGAAGTGGCAATTATCGATTTCAAAAAAAGTCGGAGGATGCGTGGGACGCGCGTCACGACGTTGTTTTCCGTTCATCGGACGATTAATGCGTCAGCGATATCGAAGAAAACACGCTGAATCTCATCGAGTCGTTCGATTATTGCGACCGCGCGACGCGTTAGCTCTTTGCACCGCGATGAATAGCTCGGTTCACCACCTAGAAAATGCCCGCTCGAGCGGGATGCTTGCAACCTGGTGCATACATCTGGGATAAATTCTCAAAGCGCTGAACTATCAGCGCGGAAAGAAAAAGTCTGAACTTTCATCATTTTTCCTCGGAATTAATTGTTAACCCCTCGACGTAAGATTTAATTTGTCAAACCTGTACTATTTAATTTTGTTTAAGTTTGGCCACAAAATAGAATAGATTTTTAAATGTAAATATGAGTTGATCTGAATACATAAGACTTGATGAGTGAGTAGCCTCATTGTGAAACATGTCATCAAGAACTTGTAACGAGTCAGACTCGTTATTGCGTGGCAAGGGGTTAACGAAGACTTTGGAGGAATTTAACGGTTCGATCCTCTTTAATTCAGCCTTGAATTTTTACATGGCGCGTTTGTGCTCGTTGATCTCTAACTGTCGCATTTTCGCGCCAAACTCACCCTTCGCCCTCGCTCGGTTTTAGGGGCAAACGTGCACCGAGCTCGATGGCGGAGGCGAGGAAGGTCACGTACAGATCCCTCGCGTCTTTCCACAGCTTCTTCCTATAAATAAAAAAAAAAAAGCATTAATCGAAGATCGTGTCGCTCGAGGTTGCACCCTAGGCTTTTATCGACAGACCTAAATATATCGAGAAGCCTCTCGGTTCTGTTACGGTCGAACATGTCCTCCACGTTCAAGTTATCGATCTTCAGATGCACCTCGAATTTGGTCAAGTTCTCCTTCTCGAGGACGTTCATGTCGAGGACCTTGTGCCTCGTTTCGTAGGTGTGCTTGTTCAGGCCCACTATCTCCAGCTGAAATCCTCCTTGCGTTACATATGGTTGTTCGATACACGGTATCATTCTCGACTATAAGGAATTGTTAACCCCTCGATGCTCACATACTCCCATAGAAGACTGTTGTATTCCTCTTAATAACACTTTATTAAACAACGGAATACTAGGTTTTGCAAAAAAAAAAAAAAAACAATTGGCTATTCGTAGTCTTAGCCCAGCCATACCGGAGAAAAATTTTAATGGGAGATTCTAGAGCTCAAAATAAGACGAAAATCAAGAATACCAATTTGTTAATGGAGGCTTCGTTAAAAAGTTATTAACAATTAAATTAAAAAATTTCAAATCGTTCTAAAAAAATTATTTTCAGTTCCAGGTGTCATTTTCAATCATTTTTGGTGAATAGACATACCCTCGAAATCCTACCCACTTTCGAGAAAAAAATTCGAGTAGTTACTGAAATTTTTAGACGAAATTAAAAAATTTCAAATCGTACTTAAAAAATTATATTTAGTTACAGGGGTCTACTACAAGCATTTTTGGTGAATAGACCTATCCCCGAAATCCTACCCACTTTCGAGAAAAAAAATCGAGTAGGTACTGCAATTTTTAGACGAAATTAAAAAATTTCAAATCGTACTAAAAAAATTATATTTAGTAACAGGGGTCTATTACAAGCATTTTTGGTGAATAGACCTATCCCCGAAATCTTACCCACTTTCGAGAAAAAAAATCGAGTAGATACTGAAATTTTTAGACGAAATTAAAAAATTTCAAATCATACTAAAAAAATTATATTTAGTTACAGGGGTCTATTACAAGCATTTTTGGTGAATATACCTATCCCCGAAATTCTACCCACTTTCGAGAAAAAAATTCAGTACAGGCGGAACTTTGAACGTTAATAACTTTTTAACGAAGCCTGCATCAGCAAATTGGTATTCTTGATTTTCGTCTTATTTTGACCTCTAGAGTCCCCCATTAAAATTTTTCCCAGGGGTAGCTGAACAACCTGTATATTAAAATCATTTTTACATTTACGAGGTATCGTGAAACAAATCCATTCTTTCTTGTGGCCATTTCTTGTACGAACAAATCTAAATAAATAAAGTCGTACGTCAAGGGGTTAACTGGAACGTGGATCACCTGAAAGTATTTCTGATCCTTGGGCGCGACCCCGTACAAAAATCCACGATGGTCTCGTTTGCTGTACGTGTAGTGTATCCATGATGGAAGGTCGGGGGCGTTGAGTAGCGAAGGTTGATACGAAAACTGATCGGATCGTCCTGAAAGCAGAAAAATTGAGTGGTACGGATCGTTCCGGAATGATGCGCGGGTCGAAGTCCCCTCGACGCGAGACCGATTAATTATATTCCGGGTAAACAGTGGAGCGCCGGTGATTTCACTTGGTTCGGAGAAAAACCTTGGTCCCGTCGATTCATAACCGGTCGCGAGTAAACCGTAACGAGCCTTCGTTCACGATTCCTCGGATGACGTCGCGCTAGAAAGTACCGATACACGTGACAGAACGTCAGCTGTGTGACCGATATACGTTCGATGGGACGTGTCCGTCGATTACTATTCACAACGTTACGCGAATGACGCGCACATAGATATATACGCTTTAATTTGGACACGACGAATTTGATTAACGACTGAAAGCTCCTGTTCGTTCGGTCGTCATCCAGTTCGCTTATTCATATACGGTCGTTAGTCAGATTTTCTAATAATATCTGATCCACGAGGATGACGCCGGGTCGGTATTCGTTGTACGTCGCGTTTTCCTTCTTACCGTCGCCGCTGCTCCAGTCGAAAGTCTCCGGTCTTATGGGAATGACGAACACCTCGGTCGTTAAGATGCTCTCTGCGCTCGCGAAGGTCATCGCCAACGACAATAACGCTACGCCCGGGAGCATGATCGCGCCGCGTGTCTGAAAAGTGTCAACAAACGACGCCCCGCTGTTAAAAAGCCGGATCAAAACGGCCACGACTTCGTCCAGTGTTCGCGACCGAGAACCTCTACCCAACCTGCCACGCGCAATCGTAACCAACCCGTGTCATCGATCCTCCCGACTTGCCAATTTCCGAATTTCCCGCGAAAATCGCGAGAAAAGCGGCTCCGTCGGTATTAGCCACGAATTAATAACAATGCATCTTTGTCGCGTTTAAATTGTATGCAAAAGAATTAAGCGTCGAGCGAAAGATAGAAAAACAAAGGCATACGCAACGATGGAACGACGAGATACAGCTATATGCTCTTACTAACCTAACCTGAGAATACCGTATTATAAGAATGCAACAAAACGTTAGCTACTAACGTCGAATTCTTTAAGCAGACTTTCTGTTTTATCTGCGGAAAGCTAGTTTCACGGAGTACAGGACACGTCCTAACACTTTTCACAAACTTCCAACAATCTAATGCTAAAATTTCGGTGCTGGTACTAACCTAACCTGAGAGTACGGTACAATAAGAATGCAATAAAAGGTTGGCCACCTACGTCATATTTTTAAAGTAGACGACGTGTCCTGTTTTATCTACGGAAAGCTCCTAGTTTACAAAATAGTGTCCTACCAAATATTTTTCACGATCTTTTAAGTATTTTCGATAATCCGACGAAACGTGTTTTAATCGAAAGCTCTCGAGTTGCTAAAAGACTGCGATAAGAGAATGTCAAAGCAATTTTTTTCCGATATAAACATGCGATACTATGATACGCGTACTGCAACGCTTTGAAGCTCGGCCAGCTGGCTTTTAAATTCCACAGGTGCCGAACAATCAAGTCGACGGGTCGCTCGAGCTAAAGAAACATAAACAGTGGTGGGGATGATTCAGCTTCATTAATTGTACGCTAAAATTCCTTAAAGAAGAAAATACCGTATATTCGTTATGTTGTTTTTTATTGTTTTTATATACATGCTACAAATATCATTCCATTTCGATACAAACATAAAACTTCATGCTTCCAAAATAACTCTTGGTAACCAAAAAAAAATAAAAAACATATTTCTCTTCGGGTAATCTCTCTATTGTTTAAACACTCGATAGATTTACTTATCGGCGATCACCGAAAGCATACAACAAGTCAATTAGCTCTTATCGATATCATTCAGATTACAATGCAAACCCTTTCGTATCTCGAAATAGAGATAAGTGGACTTACGCCACTTTCATAACGAACGGTTCCATTCGTTGATTACACGGGACCAAGGGACACGAAAGCTTGGCTCGATGGAAATAGACGCGCGGTTTCGCGGCGCTAAGCGTCTCGATATATGCTCGTTCGCATAATGAACATTACACGGATGCATTTACCGATCGTGCCTCGCGATTCTCAACGTTTCTCAACGAATTTTTAACCCTTTACCCATCGAAACATATTTTTGTTTCCTCTCTACAAAAATGCTAGTTCATAATTCGCATTCCAAAAATGGGATTCCCCAAGAGGCTAAAACGTGGAAAGAATTCGGGAATTCCTATGTTCCGAGTAAACGAAAATACCGGAAGAACACAACCTCTGGATGCAATGCTGTTCTTCCGTGCGGCAAAAGGAATCGCAGGCACAACAACAATACGCTCTCACGGTATGCGTTGACTTACGAAACGCAAACTGGCTGCTGCGATATTCTTTGACAGACGATGGCGAACCACGACACTCCGGCAGGAGGTTAACCGCGATGCAAGTGCACGCCGGAACGAAAACCGAACCGCAGCCACAGTCTACACTCTGTTCGTTCTAACTTTTAGATCGAAAGATAATTAAAGGCAAGAACGTGGTTCTCGCGGCGATCGACGTAACGCGGTCTTCTCGCGTCGAAGAACGCGCACGTTTCGTCTACCCATCGTCCGTTTTCTCGACGATACGTCGCGGCCACCTACGCCGTCGAACCAGATTCGAGGTTACCAAAAAAAGAATTACAAGATGCGAGCGTAAACGAAGTATAAGAGCGCGTGCGTTTCGCCCTTCTCATGCACGGCTGGAACATCGTTTCCGACAACCGTCCTCAGGACCGTACTGATCGTCACGAGGACAACGAACCTTCGAAATATTTTTGGGCGAACGCGGGCATTTTCAAGTTTTCGTGCGAAAAATCGTAAATACTCTTCGCGAAATTTCGACGAGAACGCGACTTGATACTACTGTTTCTAACCTCACAATTTTTCAACAGAAATGAAAATGATTTCGAAAGAATCAACAACAAAATTTCGCACCGTTTCGCCGTTATTCCCGAAATTCATGGCGCGTTATTGACTTATAGGTTTCGGTTGGACGTGTACAGCATCGTGTCGCGCGCATGCATGTACCCTTATCTGAACGAAACTTCCGTCCTGTTTATTATCGTGACGCGTTTAGCAATTCCTGATAACCAGAGGCTACGTATTTTGACGAATAACGGACCATCGGAGACCGCCAAGTTATCGATTACGCAAAATTCTGTTTAACCGAGCCAACTATGACAAACGAACTCGTAATGTCCCAGTCCCGCCGTGTTGCATCCGATTGTTCCTCGAAACCTCGACTCACGGCGTGATTGCGGTCAAAGCTGGGGAAATTTTATTTCGCAAATAACGTTTTTACGCGTTTATTCGCTCGACGGGGACGAATTTTTGGAACGGATCGTGAACCTGTAATGAAACTTGAGATTTATAATTACGAAGCATCTCGATTCCCCTCTACCAATCTACCTATTAAAAAAACCCATTCACACCATATTATGATTTTGGTAAATAACATTTTTGCGTGTTGTTCGAAACGACGAGATACTTGGGACATACTGTACGGAAGTCACGGTGGCGGTTAGTGTTAAGTTTCCTGTATTTAAAAATAAACGCCTACTGTTTCTTACAGAAAATTTCAACGTTACTTCTCGGCCAACTAAATTAACCTTGTGGGTGACTCGAGAGTGATATACAATGTTATTTTCTCGTTCTTTGTGATTTGATTCGTAACTATGGTGGGGTCGAAAAACGACCAATTGTTGCTCGTACTGTTAAGCAAGCAGACTCGAGAGAATAAAGATGTAGAGAAACTAGATTTGCAAAAGGAAACCTGTATAAAGAGGCCAGCCAACAATTTCCGCGAAAGAGAACCGAGATGAAGTTGTAACGGGTGTATGGTAAACCCCAATGGGAATTGATCGAGCGTTATAGGAGGTATAGAGGTCGGACGTCGGACGTGTCGGCGGTCGGGGCCCGGTATGTCCTCTCTCTGGCGTTTACGGCACTGCCTATTGACGTCTGCAGTAGGCGTGGTTTGGTTCTGCCCGATAGAGGGATATATTTACCGCACTACACAACTTTTCTCTCTGGTGCGCGGCGAACGGGCCTCGCGTTATTCGATCAATAAATAATGTGTCGTATTCGCAGTGCAAGGTTTGATGCGACCGGTACACGCCACCGAACCGTGGCCACTCCTCGGCACAGGGGTTGATTCCTCCCTCCGGACTCACGGACAGTTCCTGGCCGGGGGTGACTACTCCTGGATCGTACACAGTGCTCGCGTGTCCACGGAAAACTAATTCACCGAGTGACGGTGCTTGCTCGCAGCAAGCACTCGACAACAGTTGCCAGTGCACGGTGTTGCTCGTGACAGGTATTCGCGCGTTGCTTCTGTGTCTCGTTTACTTTGTCGTGGGACCGATACACCTGTCGTCCTCCTTTTGACACTCTTTCAAAAGTTTCCCTTCACGAGACGCATCCGTGAGAATGGCGGGTAACAGCGTTCCGGTTCTACTGGTCACTGCGAACGTTGGCAGTATTTTCGAGGAGGTACGTACACCGCTTACACACACAACCACAGACTTTTTCTGTTTTCGTTTACAACCAAACCGCACGACCCTGAGCGATCGATCGCGCGTCGCGATTTACACGTTCGTACATACGTGACACGACCTACTTCTCTCCTCCTTTCTCCTTCTTTCTTCCTTCTTTTCAACCTTAACCATTTGTTTGGCGCGTCTTTCGGACGATGTTATCGTCGCGATACGCCAACTCTCGTATCCGACGAGTTATCCTCGTGTGAAAGGAGTCTAACCACTTGTCCCCCTGCTTTTCGTGCCGTTCCTCATTCGTTTTAAGTTTCTATTCCCATTTTATTCATTTTGTTTCTTACGATGTTAGAATCGTAAGCTGTTGCATGCAAACGTGCATTTCTAATTAAAATACTACGCGCACGCAGACCCGTGCGTAGTGTCTATCAACGACTTCCCACGAATTTACATAGGACCGAATTGATATACACCTTCCTATTGAAACGATCGATAGAAGAGCGATTTACGATCGACGATCCGTGCGCGCTTCCGTCGGGATCGCGTTCGATTATCCGTGCGTGGCGAAAACATAACGATCGCGAGACCAAACGATTCTAAATTTTGCTCTGTTCCGTCGATCGTCAAATTTTCTTCTATTATTCGTCGATGGAATAAAACGATGCGCATCTGTTTAAGAATTTGCTTACGCTTGTCGATTCAGAGGCAAACGTCGGTCGAAGTTTTAAAAAACCTGTTTTCCTTTTTTGCAGCCTAGCGTGATGTTAAAAATTTGGACGGAAGAATTTTTATCTGTAAGTATCACAGATAAGGTGCATTGTCATTGCGTAAATATAACGCGTATTTACATTCACGCGGAATGCTTTCCACAGACTATATTGAGGCTGGATCCAAAGTTTATTGCACTGCACTGCCAAGAAGTGGGTGGAAAAAATTATGAAGAAAGTATGAGGCACGTGGAAGACTTTGTTAGGTAATTTCGTCTTCTACTTGATCTACTGATATTTTTTTTTTATAGAGCATTCATAATAATGATTATATCTTGTTACGGATGGTGAAGATTCCCTAGAAAATCTTGTTAAAGCCAAAGTTCTTGAAAGGCTTCCATCGACAGAGCTATTTAGGTCTAACTAAATTAATAGAATAAAAGCTAACTTTCAATCCTTTGCCAACATAATTTTTATTTACACTATTTATCCGATTATCCATTTAATCAATTTTGAAATAAAAAATTGTTCAAACAAAGTAGAGACTGTGCACAAGCTGTATTAAAACCATACTAAGACAAATAGCTTTCCCCGGTTACAACATTGACTGTGATTTAACGCATAAATGGCAGAAAGGGATAAAAATAGACGAACATGCGTGGTTCTATGGCTGAGCGAACAGCTTCAAAAGAAGATGAGTTTATCGAATGATATTCATAGGGGAGCAATATAAAAGAAGAGACTGAAAATATATCAGATCTTCGAGCCACTATGAAAACTTTACAATCTCCTTTGTTCTTGTGAAGTTTAATTTGATTTAATAAAATTATCTTCTGCAGGTTACTTATGTCTTCTGAAGAATTAAGGCTGTTTGACAAAATCAGAGTATTTTTAGACGAAGATTATTCATCTGCTGAACATTTTACGGTAAGTAAATTTGAAAATACATTTTGTAAATGATTCTAACGACATTTATTGTTTCAGGCTCTTGGAAATTTTTACTTTGTGCACGAATCTTTGAAAGAAGTTTTATTATGGGACTTCCAAGGTACGATGCATCCAATTTTTCACTATGTATACTTATAAAAATAACGTGTACTTATTTATTATTACGATCGTAGAATGTACTTTTGTACCAGTAAGCGGGAAAGAGGTTCATTCCGGTAATATAGAAGCAGTTGCAACCAAAGAAAAAGCAAAGTTTCCACAAGAATTTTTTCCAGAATGTAAATGGTCTAGAAAAGGATTTCTAAGAACACGATGGAGTATTAGTGGAACAGTTTTTGATCTCATAAACATACACTTATTTCACGACGCCAGTAATTTCATTGCTATGGAAACGGTAAGCGATCGTAACCGGTCGATGAATAGCCTTGTAACAGATTTATTTACGCGGTAATTCGTTTTCAGTTCCCATCTGTATACAGTAAAACGCGCAGAAGAGCGCTCGAGCATACATTAGATAGGTTTCACAATGATAAATATCCAAATGTACCATACTTTTTATTCGGAGATTTTAATTTTAGGACGGACACAGCTAGCGTAATCAAAGTAAGCTGATAATAATATTTCGAACCGACCCTCTGTAACTATTAACAATACGATAAAACGCGAAACTCTTGTTCCATTTTTTCTAGAAACTTACAGAGGATACTCGATTAAGAAGAAGATTATCGGACGATGGAAAGCTTTCAAAGTTGCAATTCATCAATCACGACGATGATCTCGTACTAGATTTAGGAAAAAAAGTATTTTCCCATATGGAACATCAAGACGTCTTTATGGAAAATAGTGGAAAATGGGTAAGTTATTCGTCGTTCGAATGTTGCGTTGTACAATGTTACTTATAATGTTGCATTAACGATTAGGAAGACCATAATGAAATTACCGATATTTATGTAGCTACGTGAATATGACAGAGAGCTGGAAGACTTTGATGGAAGGCTACTTGAATTTCCGATCGAATTTGTACCCAGTTATCCGTTTAAGGAAGATATCAACGAAGGTACGAATTATATGGAGACAAGAGTTCCAGCTTGGTGCGATCGAGTTCTATTGAGTCCTACGGCGAAAACTCTAGTCCAAGATGTACGGGATACGTTGATTGAATTTTTCTTCTAACGTCCGTCTTTTAAACGAACCATTTATGGAATACGATGTTTTCTTTTCCTACAGACATCATCGTCCGACTCTGTACAATACGGGATAATAGGTCCGACAACCTGCATGGGTGATCATAAGGTGAGACAATTTTATTTTCTAACTTATAAAAGAGGTACTGGTTCGTTTCTACCTATTATACTGGGTACATATACTTACACACTTCCTAGTTCTTATTCTGATGATTCATTCTTTTAATTATTATGGTGCAGCCTGTTTTTCTGGAGTTTCGAATGAATCTTTAAGCACTAAGGTACCTATCTATGAACTGTCTGCCTGTTCTTATCTTGGTTTTCCCCTATATCCTCTATTTCTGCTAGTATTCCACTATCTTGTTTATAAGTACATAGGGGCTTGTTCGGTGTAGTTGGTTCAGTGTAGCATCACTCCCCAAATTCACATTCTTAATGATTTTTCAACCTCACGATTCTAGACAATATTTCGCTATCGTTGTCATCGAATTAAGCGAATATATATTATTATTTGATCGTCGCAGGTATGCACAATTATCGCTTATTCGATGCATTCTTCGTACGATTCATAAAACTAAAATCAATAACTTTATAGTACCGATACATCCATTAATAACGATCGTATCGAAAAAAGAAGTTTATCAAATAGATCAGTACTCGTTACAGTACATTTATCATACCGAAATATCACGAACCACGTTAAAAAGTATTTAGTGTTTTCTAAACGTTGAGCATCGTATTACCATATTACTGTACCAAAAGTATTTCGTTCTTGTATCATTCTCCTCAATCACGTTAATATTAGTTAGACTTTTTATAGAGTCCTACCATATGAGGAATGTCCCTCCATTTCTTCATACCGATGCACGATAATACATAAGGATCGTCCATTTTTTCCCGTTTGCAGCCAGTCTACTTGAGGGCTAATCTCGCCTTGGACAAAGGTATGATAAACTGCTGCAGCTTGCCACGCGCACCTGAGTTTTGCTTTCGAGTGCCAAAGAATTACGAGGAATTGTTGTCCATGTTGCCTGACGATAGTAGTTGCGTTAGAGGGCGGATCAATTACACGGACCGTTCGACTAATCTGTTGCACGCAGTACCCATCAAGCATGATCCTTACACTCCCGATAGCATGGACAGCCCGAGTCCAAATGCTATTATAATAGCCTCGAGCGACGTCCCCGACGTAGACATAGGTAATATAAACGAATACGACGAGAACGCGACCGCGGTGGCTTCCGCGCGTGCGACTAGCATCGCAAGACGCGTCGACAGAGCCGTGTCGCCGGCACTTTTGAAATCGAAGCTAGAACTGATCGTACGCAATAAGAAACAAGAGTCGACGGACACGGAACAGGATCCCGCCGATATAAAACGGAGTCCAAGCGATTGTTGTTTACGTTCGTGGCCCAAGAGCGAGGAACGACAGTGGTCCGTGCGCACGGACAGATGCAACAGCGACGTTTCGTGGCAGAGGTCGCACCTCCTTACTCAAGCATGGATTCAGGGTAAAGGACAGCAAGGGTACCACTCCTTCGGCGATTTTATTAATAGGTCGTCCTTGAATTCAATACCGTCGGACGGTGTCGAGGGTTTGCCGCCCGACTTGATCATACCGAGGATATCGATCATAAACGCGAGTAATTTCGAGTCGAACGAGAGTTCCGTGTATATGCACGACGACAAGTACAGCAGTTACTCGGATAACAAGCTGAGCACGTACTCGGACGGTAGAACGAAGAGCTTGAGCGGCGAGGCGTTCAGCTCGGAGAAGTCCGACGAGCTTTGCGACAAGATGGACGACGAGAGCAACAGACTGAACTCGAGGAAAATGGGTATCAAGGCGGACGTGTATCTGCAGGACATTGGCGAGCTTCTGACGAATCAAGATCGCGCGATGATGGTTAGTACAAATCTGTTCCAAGTGGGGGGCAAACCGGAGGGGAACAAGATACGCGATGTCAAGGAACAACGTTTGAATGAAATTGCAGATACCGTGCAGAAAGTGAAGCATAACGATAGAGAGGATCAATATGCACTCATAGAGGATAAAGTCCATGATAAATCTAGTATTAAAAGCAGAAGCGTGGAAACGTCTGAGAGGAGCGAACACGCTTCTCCGCGGTTACGAGAGACGGATGTTCGTCTCGAGACCGTGCAAGATAAACCCTCGAAAACAAAGGCGGAATGTATGAAAGCGGAGCAGACGAATTGCAACAGGATAGATGTGTACAACGAAGCGGAAATTCTGGGATGTGAAAGCAAATCTTTGAGAGAGACCGTGAAAAGTAGTTCTCTGCATAGCCAGGACACTAGCGATAACACTGGGAACGTTAAATTGAAATTGAAGGCGTACAAAGTCACGGAGAGATGTAAACGTAATATCGTCGGGAAGAAGGACAAATGCCAAAAGTGTTATTGCATCGTGTCGTGAAAAGATACATCGATTTTTTCACAGTACATTATGTTCCTTATTTATTTTTAGTAACGTCATTAGTCATTGTTCTCGCGTCTACTTACACGGAATTAAACTCGTCCCGATATTCAAACTGCTAGATTCGCGGATCGAAAAACGCGTTTTATTTATTAGAGGAATAACTTACCACGGAGACACGCGTGGTGTATTTTTATACGGAACTATCTTTCGGAGTCGATTCAATTTTTACGATTTTACCATAATGACGTTTCTTCGCGATATATTAATTAACGAATAAGCTAGAATAAAGGCGGTACTCCTTTAAACTCTTTTGAAATATCCCGCTTGCGCTCTGTCGGATATCACGAATTTCATATTGTACGTGCATGTCACAAGACGTTTTCATTTTCAAAGTGTCTTCCGCATGTGCATGATACTCGTCGTCGTACAATATGCACTCTTTCTTAGCAAATACTTTGGCGATACAAATTATGTATATATATATATATATGTTGCAATTAAAGCACGAACTTGGTAAAGTACATACTCGTTAGGAATCGTGTACGCTTACTAATTTCGCCAACAAAAGTATGTACAACGCTAGATTAATGATAATGTGTACAGGGTGTTCGGCCAACCCTGGGAAAAATTTTAATGGGAGATTCTGGAGGTCAAAATAAGACGAAAATCAAGAATGCCAATTTGTTGATTGAGACTTCCTTAAAAAGTTATTAATGTTTAAAGTTCCGCCTGTTCTGAATTTTTTTCTCGAAAACGCGCAGGATTTCGGGGGTATGTCTATTCACCAAAAATAATTGTAATTGACCCCTGCAACTGAAAATAATTTTTTTAGAATGATTTGAAATTTTTTAATTTTGTCGAAAAATTTCACATCTCGAATTTTTTTCTAGAAAACGGGTAGGATTTCGGGGTTATGTCTATTCACCAAAAATAATTGTAATTTACCCCTGAAACTGAAAATAATTTTTTTAGAATGATTTGAAATTTTTTAATTTTGTCGAAAAATTTCACATCTCGAATTTTTTTCTAGAAAACGGGTATTATTTCGGGGGTATGTCTATTCACCAAAAATAATTGTAATTTACCCCTGAAACTGAAAATAATTTTTTTAGAATGATTTGAAATTTTTTAATTTAATTGTTAATAACTTTTTAACGAAGCCTCCATCAATAAATTGGTATTCTTGATTTTCGTTTTATTTTGCCCTCTAGAATCTCCCATGTGGCCGAACACCCTGTATATACGGATATGTACCTTGACTAATAAGCAATTCTTGCCGTTTGACCGGAATCAATGTCGGTGAAAAGTAAAATCGAACATGAATTCTGACGATTGGCGAATCATTGGTTGTGTATACGTTTCGCTGCAGTTCGCCCTTTAACTGTTTGCATAAACGTGCGCAGTGAAACGAACAGTATATTATCGTTGTATAGTGTTACGTCGAATCAGAGTATCCAAATGACTGTGTCGATGTATAATATCGAACAATACGTACGATGTATTAATGTATATGTAACAGTATCGTTATTTCACCGAAGAATACGTCTCAGCGGTTTGTCTCAGTTATGCATCAAATGTTACATGCTCGACAAATGTTGTTGCCTCGCAATTTTGTTTTCCGCAACCCTTCATCGCAACATTATTTCCCGTAGTCTCTTAATTTTTCATTCGAGCATATCATTGGTGTCGCTGTCGCAAAAGAAAAATGAAATTCCATCCACTTTGCATTTTTTCAATGAAACCGTGTACAAAAACATAGCTGTGTCTTCGTTATGCATCGTATATATCCTTGCCAACTGTGTCCTACCATAGCATGTTAGTGTAATGCACATGTAGTCCGTTAGATGGACTCGACTGCCAAAGTTAGTGTCGTTGTAGCAATAAGTAAGAAGATATTAACTTTATTTACAGAAAGAGTTTAAAATGTTAATGTTTCTTTTATATTATGTCCAGTTACCGATGCTTGTTCGGAGGCTTTCCTAATTATTCGATTACGTTAAAATTGTTAAGATAAACATAAGGACGATATTAATTCGTAAGTGCCCTGACGAAAGGCACCGAGATGTTCTCGTCAAATCGTAGTCAATACCATTAAACGTAGAGTAGTTTTACATATCGATGAACGTATTTGTTCGAGTCTTGCCAAAAAGAAAAAAAAATTAAACACACGCAGTACAAGAGAATAGCGTCGCGATAATGGCAATTTCAAATAAATTTCATCCCCTTCGAATAACAAAGTGCTCGAGAACGTTACATTTATGTAGACACTTAGCCAAACTATATCTGTAATTTTTATTCTGCCAGACCAATTTGAGATCTATGAATCTAAGCGCAATAAACACCGCAGATTCGAACAATCGATTTATTATACATTTTTTCTTTTTTTTTATCCTACTATACTTACAACCCTTTAAGACGCTAGCAATTATTTTCCTCGTTTGTAAATATAAATTTATTTTTAATACAACCGTTGCTTTCTTTCATTTACGCCCTTTAATTTATTACCACGGTTTGCAAACATCAACGAACAGATTGAATTTACTACGTTGCAATAATCACGCGTGACTATCGTTTTCATTTTTGCTTCGCATATGTACCCTTTTCTTTTCTGTCATAAATCAATTCACGATTTTACACGTTCGTGACTGTTTCTTGCACGTTGCATCGTAGCGCTCTGTTAACGTTTCATATCTACATTTGTTTGGATATAGTAGAGCAGATTGAAGTGGATTGCAAATTCAATATATGTATTGCGAACGAGAACGATACGAGGATCGACAAGTACAATTTATTCGAATCAGCGGCGAGCAGGATTCTTATCTAAATATAAATTTCGTACAACGAATGAGAGATAACCGTTTATCTATTGCTCGTTAACACATTCGCTATCATGGTAACGAATGAACAGATACTTAAAAATTTCAAAATAATTCTAGTGTTGTTAGGGACACTCGATACAATGACTATAAATATGTCGTATTAGTTATATTACAGTATTCAAGTCTCCTAACGCTGATTCGAATATATCGCTGCTTCTCGTTTCTCGAAATTTATGTTACTCACTTCATGGTACTCCATTAATTTGAAGTTCACGTTAGAAAGTAAATTGACAATTTAAAACGACGCTCATCTTACCGAAGCTCGTTACAAACGTTAACTTTAGACGCGTAATAATTTTTACCTTGATCTGCTCTGCTATGATTCAAGAACGATTAGTCAATGACTGATTCCTGACTGCAGACACGATGAACGGGGATCCTGAATCGAGTACGATGTATGGCTTAAGCAGCCGCGAGTTACTCAACAACAATAACATCAACCACAGCGGCAGCAACAACAACAACAACGGCGCAACAACCATCACAAGATACATACACATTAAGCACGCGGATTCGTCGGTAAAAATCTTCCGGGAAACGACGGTCTGATACCGAATCCGTCGTTCGAATGCAGAAGCTGCGTAAAACTGATATTTCACGTCCGCGTCGCAATACTTTCGAAACGTTCCGGTAATCGAATCGACGATTATCGATTCTAACCTATCGATCGGATTCGACCGGCCAATTGTACGGGCACCGTGAATCCCGTCTTCGAATGCATCGCGAAACGCTAGCGTGTAAAAACGAGGTCGCGAAGCGGGGTAAAGTCGCACGACATAACGTTAATATCGCGATTAGAGTGAAAATACTTTGTACGACGGACGACTAAGGCTAGTTTCCCGCTAGGCGAACCTGTGACAACTGTCGCGTTCGCCGGGCAGCGTCCTCGGTGGAAACTGTTTTTGCGCGCGTACACAGAAAGGCGGTCCCGCTTACTTTGGGTACGTTTACACGAAATTTGATACGCTGTTGGCGGACCGATCGTTCGTGTACGAACTTCTTGAATAATGGAACCAGATTTACAATGCCTCGACGCAACAAAACCGAGCCCCTGCATACAAATATTTAACCTAAAACCGGTTGATATTCTGTAATTTCTTTCACTTCGAAAAGCTTTAACCTTTTTCAATACATGCCAATACTTTCGTCCATGCATAAGATGATCTTATATTGATTTTTACCGGTATATAGATGAAAAAATTGGTGCTTTCAGCTAGAAAGTCACTCAGTACGTTTCTGTCGAGTATTTAAAATCCAATCAAGTATATCTGGTGACATTATTTTAAAATATTGAATTAAGGGCGTGAATACACTTGTAGAACGTTCAATGTCGTTAGATGTGTTATCGAGGTACGATTGTTAGTGAGGGGTAAACGAAGAGTTAACATTGTAAGTTGCGAACGTATTTGGAATCGTTGATCCTCCGTTGGCCGCGTGACACGTGTCCTCCGATCCTATGTTACTCTTGTGGGGGCTCCCACTCGCGCGACTAAAGGAGGGTTTAACCTAAACGAAACGTATCTGTCGATACAAATGCGCGTGCGACGATAACTGTATTTTACTTTTTAAGTGTTTCGGTGTTCCTACACTTATATTATACTCGCGAAGAGTTCTTCCCGTAAAGACGAGCAGAGATTTACGATAGTGTCTTCACAGGGCATCGTTTGATGTGATATTGCTGTGGCACCTCACTTTGTCCATCTTCGTTGTTAAAGCTGGGGAGAATAGAGTTGCGCTACGATTGCTGCCAAAACCGCTCGAGTTAACTTTTTCCACCGAATTCGTACAGTTTTTATCGAGATATCGGTGTTTTATCGTTTCGTTGGAGAAAGTTGAACGAGCATCAGCTCCGAAATCGTAAACGGACGATTACGCGCGATAATGTTAATGCTACTTCGTATGTAACGATTCGTTTACGGCTTCGATGATTCATGCACGCGTGTGCGTTCCTATCGATACATTGGCGTCGCTTCCATGATGAATCCGTCGCGGTCGAACGTAACTGTGCTTTTTTTAATCGTATACGATCCGAACGAAACCCGTTCGACGCATCGAATAGAGTTGGCAGTCTACGACGCAATTTATTCCAAGACAATTTTCGATTCACGATAGTTTCTCAATCCGATCCAGTTTGGACTAAAGGGTATTGGCTCAAGGGCACTTTTGACCATCTTATCCGGCCATACCCTTTGCGAGTACATTCCACTAGCGTAACCACTAGCGAGTGAACTCGACGCCGAGAAAAATGACATATTATAATATAGGAAGTAAAAAAATACTAGACGTCGTAGAACGTACGCGTTTGCACGCAATATAATTGTACTCCATGTTAACGTACCTACGATGAGTGTCGTTAAAAGAATCCCTCGCGGACGCTTGCCGCTGTTACTTAAGTTCTTGTGACACCTACCGCCACCTATGGTTACGCCATTGGTGGATTCGAATTTTTTCGGTGTTGCATAGTGATAACGACGTACGATAAATGGTACGACGAACTTGTGCTCGTACATTTCCGAGCTTTGACATGGGAACGTGGCTTTATGCTAATGCTGTCCACGAATAGGGCCCCTAACTGTTTGCAATGCGTGACGCACGCGCAAGTGGCGTTAAACTTGCGTTCGTATATGTGCCGGTGATTATGAAAGCGATATTCGCGTTTGAAAAGTATTTTTTCGAAACTTTACACTTCGAGTGAAATTTTGATACACGAGGTTCGAGTGGACAATTTTCCCGTTGATATTACGTTCGGATCGAACGAACCTAAATTTTTCGACGAATGAAAATCGCAATATTTTTGGTTTCCCGATTTACGCCACTTTCGTAATCACAGACACGCGTATAAACTTATAGCGACGATAGTAAAGTGGACAGCACTGCTTTACACGATGCCCCCCACACTTCCTCCCGATTTTCTTATTTCTTATTTTTAATCTTGGAAAATCGTTAAAGATTTTCAAAGAAGACCCGCCGGACCACTACATCCCCGCGTTTTACGCTTTCGATTATTGCCTTTGGCACAACAAATGACGGATTATACAGGGTGTTCGGCCACCCTTGAAAAAATTTTAATGGGAGATTCTAGAGGCCCAAATTCTTGACTAAGGCTTTGTTAAAAAGTTATTAAAAAATTATATTTGATTACAGGGGTCAGTTACAATCATTTTTGGTCATTAGACATACCCTAAAAATCCTACCCACTTTTGAGAAAAAAATTCGAGAAGGTGTGAAATTTTTCGACAAAATTAAAAATTTCAAATCGTTTTGGAAAAATTATTTTCGGTTGCGGGGGTCAATTACAATCATTTTTGGTCATTACACATACCCTAAAAATCCTACCCACTTTTGAGAAAAAAATTCGAGGTGTGAAATTTTTCGACAAAATTAAATAATTTCAAATCGTTTTGGAAAAATTATTTTCGGTTGCGGGGGTCAATTACAATCATTTTTGGTCATTACACATACCCTAAAAATCCTACCCATTTTTGAGAAAAAAATTCGAGAAGGTGTGAAATTTTTCGACAAAATTAAAAATTTCAAATCGTTTTGGAAAAATTATTTTCGGTTGCGGGGGTCAATTACAATCATTTTTGGTCATTACACGTACCCTAAAAATCCTACCCACTTTTGAGAAAAAAATTCGAGAAGGTGTGAAATTTTTCGACAAAATTAAATAATTTCAAATCGTTTTGGAAAAATTATTTTCGGTTGCGGGGGTCAATTACAATCATTTTTGGTCATTACACTTTCCCTAAAAATCCTACCCATTTTTGAGAAAAAAATTCGAGAAGGTGTGAAATTTTTCGACAAAATTAAAAATTTCAAATCGTTTTGGAAAAATTATTTTCGGTTGCGGGGGTCAATTACAATCATTTTTGGTCATTACACATACCCTAAAAATCCTACCCACTTTTGAGAAAAAAATTCGAGAAGGTGTGAAATTTTTCGACAAAATTAAATAATTTCAAATCGTTTTGGAAAAATTATTTTCGGTTGCGGGGGTCAATTACAATCATTTTTGGTCATTACACTTTCCCTAAAAATCCTACCCATTTTTGAGAAAAAAATTCGAGAAGGTGTGAAATTTTTCGACAAAATTAAAAATTTCAAATCGTTTTGGAAAAATTATTTTCGGTTGCGGGGGTCAATTACAATCATTTTTGGTCATTACACATACCCTAAAAATCCTACCCACTTTTGAGAAAAAAATTCGAGAAGGTGTGAAATTTTTCGACAAAATTAAATAATTTCAAATCGTTTTGGAAAAATTATTTTCGGTTGCGGGGGTCAATTACAATCATTTTTGGTCATTACACTTTCCCTAAAAATCCTACCCATTTTTGAGAAAAAAATTCGAGAAGGTGTGAAATTTTTCGACAAAATTAAAAATTTCAAATCGTTTTGGAAAAATTATTTTCGGTTGCGGGGGGTCAATTACAATCATTTTTGGTCATTACACTTTCCCTAAAAATCCTACCCATTTTTGAGAAAAAAATTCGAGAAGGTGTGAAATTTTTCGACAAAATTAAAAATTTCAAATCGTTTTGGAAAAATTATTTTCGGTTGCGGGGGTCAATTACAATCATTTTTGGTCATTACACTTTCCCTAAAAATCCTACCCATTTTTGAGAAAAAAATTCGAGTAGGTGTGAAATTTTTCGACAAAATTAAAAATTTCAAATCGTTTTGGAAAAATTATTTTCGGTTGCGGGGGTCAATTACAATCATTTTTGGTCATTACACTTTCCCTAAAAATCCTACCCATTTTTGAGAAAAAAATTCGAGAAGGTGTGAAATTTTTCGACAAAATTAAAAATTTCAAATCGTTTTGGAAAAATTATTTTCGGTTGCGGGGGTTAATTACAATCATTTTTGGTCATTACACGTACCCCCGAAATCTTACGAATTTTCGAGAAAAAAATTCAGTACGGGTTGAGCTTTAAACGTTAATAACTTTTTAACGGAGCCTCCATCGACAAATTGGTATTCTTGATTTTCCTCCTATTTTGGCCCCTAGAATCTCCCGTTACAATTTTTCCCAGTGATGGCCGAACACCCTGTATAGTTATTTTATAAGAACGTTTTTATTGTATTTGGAGAATCGGTAAACTCGAGGTACTCGGGACGTTTACCTACGACTGCTTTTAAATCCGTTCCATCGTACACGTTTTGCAACGTTTAAACCCGAATAGCGACGGAAGTAAGCGCGAACGCCTAACCAGCTAGCTCGTGAATAGTAGTTACAAATGTCTTCGAGGTTATCGCGCTTACTTTGACGAAAAAAGAAAAAAAAAAAACATATAAGAAAGCCTTTGCTGCATGTTTCGCGACATACACACGATCTTACTTGGGCTACTTTTCCCTTAAAATTTGTTTGCCAAACGCTACACGAAATGTCTCCCTCTCGATGTGTATGTCGACGATAACCGGAAGTCATTCCTTGAGAGTTATTCATAATGTACTTGCAGCTAAAGCGTATAATTCAATACATACTTAGAACCTGTATGGAGTACCTGATCAGTTCAAACGAAGTATAAAATACACTACGATTGTTTCTCTCACGTTGTATCTATAGAGTTTCTGGGTACGTCATAAACTGTTCAAGTGCTTGATGGAATCTTGGTTATGTAACACTGTGTTTCGCTCCATGCAATATTTAGAAGTTACATAGGAGTCTGGGTTATATGCTTTACCTGTAACGCGATTATTTAATTCTATGTACCGGTATTAATATATTCGTAGGTTTAAGGATTCGACGCTTTTACCAGACTGGTTTTAGAATCTTCCGTGCGGGCAAGTTTTTCGAACAACCATTTTACCAACGGGATCGTCTTTTTAATCGTTTTGGGATTCTTGTCGAAGAATATCGACGATCCATGCTTCTCGGTGACGTCATAAGTAAACGAGCTAGTTTAGACAAAGAACAAAAGATATTAGACATAGAGAGTAGGCGGTAAACTAAATTTACTAGTCGCTCAAATAGACACGTTTCGTTTCGAAAAAAAATCGAAATTTTAAATCGCGCTATCGAAAGCCTTGCTTGCTCTGACGCTTTGAAAGATACATTATTTCTTCCGTCTTCCGACGGCAGGTAAACGTTGTACTTTTATAAATATGAATGTACTTATATTTTGTACTGGCAGTACCTTGCGAGACCACAATACGTTAAACGATGAGATTAATTATATGTACATGCGTAATGTCAGTGTTGTACGAATAAACGTTTTACAGTAGGGTCGTTGCTTTTATCGACCACGAGTGTCGGACGTCGTTCTGTTAAGTTTTCGAGACGGATGTAAACTAAATTGTGATGCACTTATTTCATGTATTAGAGTATACAAAGGAAAATAAAGTTAGCGTTCTACAGTGTCTATCAATTCATACTCTTCAATTTCATAACACTTTCCTGAAACACCTACTACGAAAGTACTAAAATACAGTTGGCAATGCTTGTTAATGTCTCTATACTCTCTATGAAGAAAACCTTCGTTTGGCACCACTGATATTTATTATAATATAACAACAGCGTGCAGCAGTGTGCACGTTTTGAAAGACGGAAAAACAACAATAAATACGTATCTGTATTCGAACTTAAACAAATATATTGTAGAGCAACATTCCTTGCGAACAACAAAAATCTCAAAATGAGTAAGGCACACCCTCCCGAACTTAAAAAGTAAGTGTATCAAGTAGTTTCCTTTGTTGTTATAAAGATTGTCGGTTTAATTTCATGGGTTTAATCGTTGTAAATGTGATTAATATGTAATAAAGATTCCTCTCTTTTATTTTAGATACATGGACAAGAGATTATCATGTGAGTGAAAAGCACTTGAAAAATTCGTATCTATATAGGTTAAATATTATTCCTGTGATTATTATTTTTCTTTTATAGTGAAACTAAATGGCGGAAGGCACGTTGTGGGTATTTTACGTGGTTTTGATCCATTTATGAACATGGTTATAGACGAAAGTATCGAAGAATGTAAAGATGGTACCAAAAACAACATTGGAATGGTGGTAAGTTGTATCATAAAATTTTTTTTGGTTAATGGATGGTTAACCTCTTTACTAACAATTCAATACAGGTGAAAGGAATTTAAATGCATTATATTGTCTTAGGTGATACGAGGAAACAGTGTTATAATGTTGGAGGCCTTGGATCGAATATGAAACAGAACATGGAAACTGTACAGAATTGTAATTTGTATTCTAAAGAAACTAAGTAAATTTTTTATACAATAAACTGGATAATATTTAAACTTATTCGTCCTTCAAATGTAACTTGTAATTCATATCTGGTTGTCTGAGTTGAAAAAAAATTTTATGTCATGTAAATAGGTGTAATATCAAGTAATCGTTTATTACAAAACGTTTTTTTATAAATATACGAATGAACAAGATTAATATTCCTGCAATACGTGTTATTTATTTTCCTAATCCCAGGAATAGTCTATTTTGTATGCTGTTTTTTTTGTTTCAATTTTAATGAACTGCTGAAAAAACTATAATTAAATTCTATTTTAATGTTACAAAAAACAAGTTTCTATCCTACAACAACAGCAGTAGCATCTATTTTTTTATTAGATACACCTAGGCAAATAATTTTTAGGACTCTAGAAGAAAGTCACTAGATACAGAACCAATCAAGACGCGATCATAGTTGTTGAAGCAAAAATCATTTTTGAGCGTAAAAATGAGAACTAATAATTCCTGCTACCTGTATTATTAATATCAATAAAGTTAATGAAAGATAACTACGTATAATATATGTCTGTTTCGTATTTAAAATCTGGGGCATGTTCTCGAAAAAAATTAGGGCTGGACTTTGTTTTGTTAGACCAAAAATTGTTTTTTTTATATTATGTCGTAGAAATTGAATTCATATTGTCTTTTAAACGCAATTAAGCTTGATATTAAATCTATATTATTTTTACAGCAGATTAATAGATTTACTTTTATATCTGTACTAACAATCAAACAAAATATGGAACAAAGAAATGTTATTGTATTATTTTAGGTACTACATGAAAACACCGTTACAATATTAGAGGCTTTGGACAGAAAATGAATCAAAACATGGAAACTGTACGAAAGTCTAATTTATATTCTAAATTTTATAGTATTTGATACAATAGATTTATTCAACCTTTAAATAACTTGTAATTCATACCCAGTTTTCTAAATTCGAAAAACGTTTTATTCTCAATAAATAAATATAATATTAAATGATCGTTTATTATAAAAACATTATCTATAAATACATTAATGGACAAGATTACATATTTTACCCAGGACGCATTGTTTCACTTAGTATTCCTGCAATGGCAATAATTTTAAAAATAATTTGTTCATATGTCCATAGTCTCTATTATATTTCCGTAATATTTATTCAAAAATAAAAATATCTGATATTTCGCAAATGAATTACAAAAGAATAGTATTATAATGCAACATTACTTTGTTGCCTACACATTTCATGGAAATTACGTATATGTACTATCGTTGATCAGAAATGATAAAAGAAATAACGGAATAAATTTCATTTATGATCAACATTTGCCTTTTTATGAGGTGATAGTAAACGTATTTATATAAGGAACATTAAAATTTAGAAGGCACGTAATATTTCACTTGTTTTCCTTAGCAAGGAACATTTCTGCATTTTCAGAAAACTAACTTTTCCTTAAGCCTTGCGATCTTCTACTTTTTATTGTTAACATTCGGTAAAAATCTTGCTACTAATTTTGAAGAAACACGCTCTACAACAATGTAGCATGAAAAATTTTCTTTTGTTATTATCCCCGTATCATAGAATATAATCTAAATACCCGATTTATCCAACGGCAATCTGTGTGTCATTTTGATATGAAAGTATTCGTGCAATTAATGTTATTTTAAGAAGATAAACATTTCTAAGAATTGGTATTGTGTATATGAAGTGCATAATATAATGATCTATATCTAATAATACATTTTCATCGAAGACAACAAAATGAAAGGGAAAGTATTCCATGGGCGATTAAAATTTAATTCACAAAACTTTTAATGAATACGTGATTACGTGATGATAAGTTAAACAGAATTATATAGAATTCACTTTAAACGATACTAACTCTTTTTCACGTGATCATAGAATATATTATTAGAGATATCTAAAACATGGCTAAACTTTAATCTACACGAACGAATTTTTGACTAAACTATTTAGCTAAAAGTAAAAGGAACACAATACAACTTACATACATCTACGCATTAAGAATGGCTTTCAACTCTCTTTCCGTACAAAATACTTTAAATACGATTAAAAAATTTTCTGGTCCTAAACTACATACATAATTTCTCATTTAAATTATTATTTGGCTGTGCGTTCTGAGATATGTGTGATTGCATTGTCACTCGCGTGCACAGTCGTAATAATTGTATTTGAATCTGTAAAAGTCATAAATGTGCTCAAAATTACGTTAATTACGATTTCATGAACGATAGTGAATTTTCACGCTAAGTGAAACAAAACTGTTATAATGGAAAGATGGCCGTGTATCACAGTTCGAAAATTGTTAATAATTTACAAGTATTCTTAAATTTAAATCTTGTTTTAATGATTAAATTTTATCAGAGCTTGCTACTTGATTCAAAAATATGATTTCTGTTTTAAATGTTGCGAGACATGTTTTTTGCAACCTTGACGATTAAACTTTTGTTTGTATTTGCGCTGTGTATTTTAAAAATAAATTTCAACTAGATGTATAATAAAACGTTTAGTTTTAAAAACAAGAACGTACGAGTGAAAAATATTAACATTTGATTGATCATTTAAACATTTTCTACCAACATACTTCACACATTCAGGTTTATAACAAATATACTTTCAATCTCATTGATTGTTTTCTGTTTCAACTTTAATGAAACATTAAGTTGGAATGTTTTATACTGCATAGTTCAATTCTACTTTAGCGTTTGAAATATTCAACCCATCAGAAATAGAATCATATCCATTCATATTCTGATCACGCCCCTCCATTATTTCTGTTTTCCGATTAATATTATTTATCTTTCTTTCTAAAATATTTGAAGTAAATTTAACTTCATTTTTACCATCAGAGGTATCACCGTTTTCGACTGTTTCTTCTTTTATTTTCACAATCTTATTGCGTTTCTTGTGTTCCGTCGCTATGTGCCTTTCTAGCTCTTCGATTAGAATTTCACTTTGACATAACGAGCATACCGTTCTTCCGTGATACTTCTGTCTATGACGCTTCAAGTGAATAACAGATTTATAAACAGTATTACAGTCTAAACAATTATAAGGTTGTTCGTTACTTTTCTGGTTATGTGCGCTGTCAGATTTTTTTTTGCGCGTATGATCATTTAACATGTGGCTCTCTAAATCGTCTTCATTGGTATAGCATGCTGTACATATTTTACAAGGAAATTGTTTTACGTCTGAATGCTTAGCAACGTGCACTTTAAAATACCATTCTGTACTAAAGCATTTAAGGCAATACTCGCATTTGAACTCTTTCTTTTTATGCTTTCGTTTTTTCTTCTTTTTTTGTAATGTCCTTTTAGAAACACTCGGAGTATTGACTTTTGGCACAGAGTTCAACCGTTTAGTAATTCGTGAAACAGTTAATGACGATGGTGTCGATACCGGTACTTGCAGCGGTGCCGATACCGGTATCGGTACCGGGGGATCTGCTATGATACAAAACTTTGGTATACCCTGTGTTTGATGTAATAACGATGGTTCTGTTATTAAATTAGTTATAGGTACAACGCGTATAGGTGTTAGCAACGGTGTAGGCTGAGCAGCCGACGACGTCACTAACGACGATTGAGAAAATAGTAAATCATTTAACGTTAATGGCTGTGCGTTATGGTGCGTTGCAAACGTGACAAACTGACTTTGAGGTAAAGAAGCAGCACTGGTCGTTGTTACAACTGGTCTATTCAAAGTATCAGGCAAGACTACGTTTACCGGGATAGTTGTATCATTTTCATTAGAACTCTGTGACTTTCCAAGGACTATACTTTGTTGCGGTAATACAATTGGTATACTAGGTAAAAGTTTTCCAAAAACGTTATACATGCTGTTAACTTGAGCAGTTTGAGTAGTAGCCACAGTTGTTACAGCACCCGTGGGTTGTTCTGCAGTAACCGATTTCGGAATAATAATTAATTCTTCGTTATTTTTTAGCATCTCCATTACCGTACCAAGATCCATGTAATTGTTCTTTTTCGCTTTAGAAGCTGCTATCAGTTGAATTTCTCTCTCGCGCATTCTTTCTTTTAGTACCTGGGCACCGCTGGTTTCGTTATGTCTGTATTCAGTCTTGCGTTTACAATTTTTATGATGCACGCGACACCTTCGCGTTTGAAGTTCGATACCGCAAATGTCGCAGGCAGTTGAACGATTGCATCTGTTTAATCTTATCACAGCTCTGCGACAACGATCGTGATCGATGCTCAATGCATCACACTTTGCATTAGCGCAATGCTTTGATACGGGTGCATTTATTTCGTCTTCTTCTATATGAACGGCTAACATGGGCGATGCTCCGTCCCTATCTACGTATTGTTGTACAGACACTTCGCACACAATGTTTTCGCAAGGTTCATAGTGACCGCAAGACTTCTTCACCCTCTTAATAGGCACTAAAGCAATTTCTGATTTACCTTCTTTCTTAGAGGGTAACAGATTCTCCTCCTCTTGATCTATCGGTAAAGGAACTATGGATAATTCCGACAGCTTTGATGTGTTTACATTTGAATCAAGATTATACGCTTCGTTTCCGACATTATTATTGTACGAAGCAGAAGTTGCACGAGCTTTCGAGGGAATCGTTTTAATAACAATATTCGGCTGATTAAACAAACGTTTCACTGGCTCAGAATTCAGCACCTACAAACAAAATCGATGTACAACAATAAAATAAACAAGCATGTACGTTGTAAATGTGAAACTCACGTCGGATAAGGCAGTCGATGGAGTAAAATTTGTAGGGCACATATTAGATGCGGATATTGAGTTACGAAGATTCGGCAATAGAGCATGGGCCATTTTCACCATACAAAAATAGGAAATCGCAATATCCTGCAAATTGGGATGAATTTTTCTACCATGTAACCATATTCCGAAACGTTTATCGCAACGTTATGCGACATAAACGTGCATTTCATCTCACAACAACAACGTAACGCTTAGCAAATCATCGAACGTTAACGTTCCCCGGGCTTTTATTTATGGAATATTCTCCGTAACTTTCTTGATGCACGAAATAATTGTTAGGTTAACGGTTTTTTGACAAACCACACCGTGCACTGATATATATGCACATAGGTATGCAGTGTTTAGGTAGTTAGGCAACATTTGGCAACAGCACGCTCGCACGTTATTTGTAATATTGTCACTGACAGGGATCGATAATCACGTCAATTCGACAAACACTTACGCTACTCATAAATTTACGATCGTGTCGAATCGAAACCCTTCGTCGTTACGCATAGTATACAAAAACTTCAGTTTTTAGTTTTTCTCTATGTAGAAGATGAACGTTAGAAACGAAACGAGCGTGGCAAATAACAGCACGCTTTAATCACTCTAACAGTATTTAAGTAATGCTGTTTACAATACTATAATGTGAAAATCTATCGGTAAATTCATAGACGTACAGGCTACTCAAATAAATCCTATTGGAGGAGAATATTAAAAGAGGGGCTGGTTTCCCCCACTTGGCACCTCTTCGAGTAGACACTTGGCATCCACCTTTCTTAACGAGAATTAAGCTCTTAATACAGAATGAAAAATCCGCTTATATTTCAATTTGGATATCGGTTCTCGTATCTAACGTAGGTTATTTATAATCGTCCGTAAGAAATTGGTAATACGCAGCTTTTAACGGGTTAAATTAAAGCTAATTCCCATTTATCATCGCTCGTTATAGTTTTTATGTAGGATTGAACAATTCACGTTGGAGATGAAACGAATTGATCGCTCGACTAGCATAACAAATGAAAGGAAGAAGTTTCTCGTAACGTTATCTGTGAAAACAATGATACGCGAACAGATTCTACACGTAGGACTACGATAGTCACTTTCTTCTATTATGCATGTAATGTATAGCGATTAATTTATTATTCTAGAATAATAATTCGTGCGTGAGCATAAACAAACATGATTTCTAAGCGAATTCTGTGGACAAACGTCTCGATTGATGGAAGTCTGCGTCAAACCCCTCCATTGAAAACAGGGGTCGAATGAAATTATAATTTTTTACTTTTCTGTTCTAAGAAAATAGATATAAAGTTAGGCGTATTCGTCGAAACTTTTATTCTACTAATTTTCGCATAAATAGAGGATCACTACCTTTTCTGTTTCATTCTGTTTCATTCGATCCTTGATTAAAAGGGTTAAAAATAACACGCATTTAGTTGTTGACCTAATCCTTTTGTTTACAAATAGATAGGATTGAAATTGACGAATTTTAATCTGTTTTTCACAACTGTATTAATTGGTTATCTATTATAATTAAGGTCTGCTTGCTTTTTACCTACCTCTTTATTCGATCTCAGCGTCAATGATTCAGAAATCATATGCGTGGAATAAAGAATTTATTATAACGATTCCATGGATTGGGAAATGTACAAGTTTTAAGACAACGTTTAAGTAGTCTACATCTTGGCTGTTTAACACGTAAAACGCGATTTATCTTTGGTATTGAACGTAGAATGCGACGTCTGTTAACTATAATAGTAGACTGCAAGACGATTGGCAAGGAATCGTAGAATTTCGATGTAAGTTGCTCGATTACATATTTAACGAACGATAAATTCATGTGTATCCGACGTATTCGAAAACGAATAGTATTGTTAAAAATGATATTTTCATCGATCGATCGTGGCCAAGGCTTCCTCGATAAATATTCTTTTTCTCCGTTTAGTAGTCGTATGCCGTGCGAAACGTCTGATTGTCTTCATACCAGAGCAATACATACGACGCCATTTTGCGCGGGAACAGAGAAACGAAAGCGGAGAGCGACTATAAACGACACGCGAATGGATGGATATTGTCGAAAAGCTTTATTGAACTTAAAGTTGCGATTTCTAAACAACAGAACAAAAAAAAAAAGAAGAAATTTGAACGCATCGAAACGTCTGTACATAGGAACTGTATAAATTAAAAGCGAGCAATCGTATACAAGTAAACGTACATCGCGAGAGATCGCCCCGTGGAAATGATAAATGCACAAAATACGTTACAACTGTACCGTTCAATAAAACCTTTACTTCTTTCTCTTCTTTCCTTTTTTTTTTTCATTTTTTTTTTCATTTTTTTTGTTTTTTTTTTTTGGTACAGGCGAATCCGTTACGCGCTTAACAACAAATCGAACGAGACACCGTTAAAAAGCTAAATGCTGAAGTCGCATGTATGCGTTCAAGGGTAGTAGTTCACGAATTAACTTAGCGAGCACGAAGGTACATTGTACAAAATGTGACTTACACCTATGTTACATTATAAACATATTTACATTATCGATCAGTCAAATAAATATTTTTTTTTCTTTTAGTCTTTGCGTGTCTAACGATGCTAGATTTAGCGGTCGAACATCGGCGCCCGAAACTCGTCCGTCGTGGACCACGAACGGTGGTTTTTATGCGACAAAAACAAAAAAAAAAAAAGAAGGAGAAGAAGAAACGTGCAAAAGTAACGGGGCAACCGAAGTCGTGCGGTTTAAGCAAAAATATCCCTACCGTTGTAATCTAGCGTACTTCGTCATAGAAGAAATCCCGCGTCTGCCTTAGATTACAGCGTTTATTCTAGCGGATACTAACGTTTTAAGTTCGCTGGCTAGGTCGCGTTCAAATTTTGATTCGCGGGAGAATCTCGAAGGTACAATTGCATTCACGAAGGTTGGACTTTAACGCTTAGTCTTTGGAAAGTGAACAAAGCTGCTCCGTACGATTCATATATATTTTTTTTTGTTTTCCTTTTTTGTTTTCTGAGATATGATTTATCCTCTCGAGACTAATTCGTCCTTGAAAACTTTCTATGTTTATAAAATGATAAATTTGGTCGCGTCTATTAATCTGCTATTTATTATAATACGTACGAGTACGATGTTTCTGTGCTATTCTTTCGTTACACGTATATCACAGAGTTCAATAATTTCTCACGCGTTCCTCATTGCGGTATCGAGCGAATCTTTTCAAAATAAATTGTTGCATACTTTGTCATCTCGTTTAAAAAATGCTCTTAAGATAAGTATTCCGACGATCATTAGTGTTCCGTGTATATCCGAACGTTACCGGTAATGGATGATGTCTACAAAAAATATTAGAATTTTTAAGTAACTACTATTTACAGTGGTAATACAGGGTGGCCCGGAATACGGGTTACAGCCCGAAAGGAGGTGATTTCTGTCGAAACCATGTCATCTGTTACACTCTATATAGCCGTCGTGAAACTTCACGACTGACACAACCTATGTTCGGAGTAAATTCAATTGGCCCTCGGTACGGCCGGTCGATTCCCATCCGATTCGATGCACCGGTATTCCGACATCAAATTACAAAAGTTCCGTCCCCCGTCTTCTCAATCGACATTTCCTCTCGACGAGTCCAGCGAAAAAGTTCGACGATCGTTGTACTATGCGCTTTCACTTTGCCGTACGATCTCTTTAAATAAAATAAAATCATAGAAATATCGTTCGAACGTAACACGTACGCTTCACTCCCTTTAAAAGTGAATTAACGATAGACTAGAATATTTCGCGTGAATCGTACACGTTCGTCTGTTACTTTTTTACGGCCGTCGTATCCGTCATTCTTCCAACAGTCTTTTTATGTACGCTCGGTACCGTCCTCGTCGCGTTTACGCTCTTGTTGGCTTCGAACTTCTGCTGAAGGGACGCCACGTTCGACTTGCCCGTGGCCGCCCTTTGCACCGGGTTCGCCTTCGTCTCGCCACCGCCTTTGGTCTCCGTTTTTTGGGCCGTTTTCGGCTGCAGGGTCTTCGAGATCTCTTTCGCGGACGCTACGAACGATTTCGCGTTCGCGCTCGTCGGCGATTTCTTCTTCTCCGCGAGGCTGGCCGCCTTGGACGCGATGCTCAACGGTTTCAACGGCGCGGACGGCGATTTCGCGGCGTTCCCGCGCGTCAACGTGGGCGTCTTCTGAACGTTCTTCGGCTGAAAGCTAAACTTTGGATTGTTACCCAGAACGTCCGGCGACTTTGTACTGGTTTGATTGGAACTCGAACAACTCGACACTACGTCCGGACTGTTGAACTTTCCCCCGTTATCCTTAGGGCTACAAGGCACAGTTTTCATAGATATTCTATTAACGTTCGTATGAGAGTCCTGTTTATCCGCGGTGTTCTGCAAGCTGTCCGTTCCTGGCTTCGACGCCTTGGCGGCGCCGTCGTTGTGCTGCTTCGACCTCGACGCATTGTCCAGAGCGTGTCTGGTGGCAGTTTTCGTCGCGTCGTTCGCCTCTTTGGTCACCGTCTTGACGATGTGAGGTGGCGTTTTCGTTCTCCCGAGGGGCGGTTTGGCAGGCTCTTTGCCATCGGTGGCCGCCTCCTCGCTCTTCGGGCTGCTCAGAACCCGCTGAATCGGTCGTGTTTTCACGGACGCGACCGGTTTGCAAGACGCGACGTCGCTCGCTGGTTTCATGCCCAGCTCCTTCGATATATCGTCGTTCAGATTCGGGTTCGCCGAGTTCAACGACGCAAGTTTACCCTTGTCGACGGTTTTCACCTCGCCTTTGGCGGTCTGCTGCCGCGGCACGTTCAACACCGACGGATTCAAGTAACCGGAACTGGTCGTGGAGCTGGACGAATTGAATTTCCCGGACGCCGAGTTCGAGTAGATGCTGCCGGGCGATTTATAGTGATTCGAGTTCGCGTACGCCCCCAACGAGCTATTCGACCCCAGATCCTCCGCGTTCTTGGCCGCCTCCGCGTTCTCCTTCGCCTTCCGGGACAACGTCGCGGTGGAGTAGATGGAATCGAAGTTCCGATTCGATATTTCCGACACGATCTCAGACAGCAGACCCATGGGCTCCGCGTTGGCCCCGTTCGCGCCACCCTCGACGCGTTTCGGCTGCTTGTACTCGTTGTCGATCCGCTTGTCCGTCTCCATCTGATTCTTCCTGCTCTTCTCGGGTATCGCCTCCTCGATAACCGCGTAAATGTTGTCGCTGGTGGGCGACTCCTCCGTGATCTTGGTCAGGGACGACTCGGGGACGAGGTTCATGCAGTCGTCGTAGGCATTGTCCACGAGCTTCTGCGTACTCTTCAGCTGCGGGGTCTGGTAGCCCGGTAATCCGTGGATCTTACCAGCGTCGTTCGTCTTCTCCGTGGTTGTAGTGGTCGTTGGAGGACCAGGCGGAGGAGCTGTGGGTCTGGTGCTCGCAGGGATGCTGGTGGGTCTCTTCACCGGCGTGGTTTGTTGTCGCATGGACCCGAACGTCTGAATGGCTGGTCTGGGCGTGATCTTGCTGTCCCTCATGGACTGGGCGCGCAACACCACGTTCCTCTTCTCGGCCTCCGTGGCCGGTATCACGGGGATAGCAGGCGTGGGTATCTCGATCTCTTTCTGAGGTATTGGATTGGAAATCTCCAAGTTCCTCAGGATCTCCTTGTCTATCACCTTGTTCGCTTTCAAGTGATGCGCCCTGGGCAGAGAGTTGGTGTTCTTATCCTCTTTCTGCGCCACCTGCAGACCCCCCGTCTTCATGATCCCGGAGTTTGGTCGGAGCATCGAGGCTAGCCTGTTCAGGGTGCTACCCTTCTCCGGTTTCTTCTCTGTTTCTGGAAGCAAAACGTTGGTTAACGGCGTGCTGTTCGGTCTTTGGGGCTTTTGAAGGTCGATGGAGATCGGGGGAGCCGGTGCAGGCCTCGTCGGCGCGTCCAAGGACGGTCTGGTTGGTGGTTTAGGGGCGACCAACTCCACGGAGGTGCAGGTGGTGGCTGCCAGGACCGGGCTGCTGATCAGAGGACGCGCTGTGCATCCTGGATTCAACGGTGGCAGGCTGGGAGCCGCGGACGGCTCGGTGAAGTTGGACGTGGAGTTCAGAAGCGAGTTACGAGGCGGATTGTTCTTTGGTAGCGCCTTGATGTTGGTCTTGATCGCCACCGTTGGTATCGTGGGCGGCGGAGGCACCGGTTTCGTCGGTTCCCCGACCTTCGGCTGATTCTTGATCGGCGTGATCGTGAATCCTTTGAACTGACCGAACAGATTATTGTTGTAACGCTTGTCGGCCTCCGGTTTCGGCAATAAACTCGCGCAGGCTGGATCCTGACTGAGGCTAGAATCGATCGTTTCGATGTTACGGGGCAAAGGACTGGAACGATCGATCGTTTTGATGGATAGTCCATTGTGGCCACGATCGGTCCTGAAATTTTAAGCACAAGTGTAAGCCGGGGAATTTGGGGAGGTGTCAAGCGCTAAACTACACGCAGCCACGATCGTGGACGATCGTGCATCGCGAACAATTTTTTCTAACAATTTTCGCATACTGCCGGGCATCAGAGTTGGGCCGAAAGTGACGTCGCAATAAATCTGGTTCCAACAACGTTACAGATTTATTCATCCCTTCGCTTCCCTCTGTTTAGTCTGATCGTTCAAGGGGTGAAAATAGTCGTTTTCTTTCACAATTCCACGTCGCACACGCTAGATACAGATTGTTACGCAGCCCAGAAACAAATCCAACAAAGAAAACACGTACTTAGTCGTTACTTCTTATTCCGTGTTTGCCCAACTCTGCCGAACATAAAACGCTACTGGCATGCACTTATGTAATTCCTCGAGCATCGCGACAAACCGGAAGTCTCTCCAACGATCCTCGAAACGCATGCAAACGGACGAGAAACTTGCAGGGAAATATTAGTCGAAGATTAAAGTGTTAGTAGCAAGCTCTTTGGAAGAAGGAAGTTTTTTTTTTTTGTTTATTACATAAGAAAACTTGTGTACATTTTGCGTAAAATACTACTTTTATTGAATAAAATTGTACAATCGGCGAGCAATTCTGCAGGATATTAAAAATATACCTGAAAAAGTGACTGTACCGACTCGTTGCTCGCTAAAAGTAATCGAACGTTGACTCCACTTTTCCTTTCTATTGTTTGTTGTTTTAACGAAGAAATTATTAAGGGTATCGAGCGATCGTTAATACTGACTCATCGATTCGATTGCAAGCGAGACGTTCGGTAATCTTAAAATGCAAAGCCATCGAAAAGAAATTTCACACATGCTCATGCTCGTGTCACGTAAAATCACTATGCATGCTCTACGATTCGCGGTTCTCAACCTGTTCTCGAAACGTCCATTCGTCGATTAACCCTTCAAGCACGACGTGCAATCCGCAAACCTTTGTTTTCTGCGACGCAACCCCTTAAAAAATTATTAAAATTTCAACGACAAATCGTATGGCTTGAGATTGAAGGTTCCGTCGTACCTGAAGGGTCGATTCGAGCTTTTCACCCTTCGAGAAAGTTCTTTCGCGTTTTCATCTCCGTCTTTCGTGTCGGTGGAGAACCGCTATTCTACAATACTTTATTATCACCCATCTTTTTGGTAATACTCTTAAAGTGCGTTTACGTATACCGAATAACGGCGAACGAATGGCTTCCGGCCGAATCCTGACGAATATTTTTGATCAGCAGTCTGCGTTCGACCGAGAAACCAACTGTTCACCTATCCATCGTCTCGCAAAGTCATGGAATGTCTCATTTCAATTAACTTTTACTCACGAGGGTGTCTGTGCCCTCGCAACATGGCGCCCGAGCGCAAGATCCTGAACTTGGAAGATAATTGTTAAAATTAATTAATAGAAAACTAATCTATCAAGTTGGTCAAGAAGTTTGCACAATTCTCAACATGTAAATTAATATAAATATTCACGGACCCCCACAAATCTATCCATGGTCCCTTTGGAGCCCAAAATTAAGAATACTCTACGATACACCATTGTCTAAAATTCGTCGTTCAGTCTAGTTCGTCCGCCATAGTTCAGCATATGTAAACGCACCTCTATACGACGTAATATGCATACTTTAACTATATATAATATTCTAGGATTGTATTACGTCATATATGTATCAATACTTGAGCATGAAGTATCATATATAATAAACGAATAAATAAACCGCCTAAATGCGAGATTCCTTTTAATTTATATATATATTTATATATGTAATAGGTATATAAAATTGTATTCTTTTGTTCAGACATTTGTAAAAATATATATAATCGTTTAAAACGCTACGGCAGGACTTTGTTTTTTTACAAGCAGCGCGGTGCCCGTAAACTCGTTCAAAGCTTAACGTATACTTAATGTTAAGTACATGGTTCTCGTTTCCTTTCCAACGGAAAAGCCCTGCGTTATAATATTCGTTATTTAGACTATTACAACGTAAAAATCACAGTGCATATTCTAAGTCGTTTTGGCAATCGTAAGGATTAAAAACGAATTAACCGCCACCATTATTGCCAACCCTGTATGTCGTAATGCAAAGATCATAGTTTAAATTAAAATAAAAAAAAAACACACTATGACCTTCGCACTAAATGAGACGCGTTCTATATTGAGAAAGGAAATATTGAAATAAAGAGTATAGTACGCGTGGATGTCAGGCAGCGTTACTGGTGTTTCGTGAACGAGACAAATTTCGACGAACAAAATGGAGGACAGGTCAAATCTTTGGCTTGAGACTTTGGGCCGGGGCTGGTGGGGGCGGTGGCTTTTTGTTGTAAAAAGGAGCAGCGCGTATCTGCACGCACGGTTTCTCGTCAGCCAATAAGGGATCTGCCGTTTTCGGCGGGGCGCTCGAACTACCGCCCGGACTATCGTTCAAATGCTCGAACTTCACTTCGGTCTTTAGCGTAAGTCCCTTCACGTTTTTCGACGGTTTTTTCTGCATCTGCTGAATGCGTTCCGCTATTTTCGTCCCTAACTCCGACCTGATCGAGTTCTTTCTCGGCCGTGACTCCGCGGACGAGGAGGGGGCGACAACGTGGACAGCCGACCGGTTGGCGGGTTCAGCGACGTCGGGCTTTTTGTTGCCGACGTGCTGGCTATCCGCGTTCGCAAGCAACATCGATTTTCTGTACTCGATGCTGTTACTGCAGTTAATTGCGTCCGGGTTAGTGGTCGATATCAGGTGGGTTTTAGTGATCTGAAGCTTCTCTTTCGGCGGCAGACTGTTGCTGATCGTGAATATTCGGTTCGCGTCGCGGGCGCTCTCCTGCCGCGGCGAGAAGAATATCGCCACCCTCTCGTAAAAGTTTTTACCGATCGTGTGGCTCGACGACCCCGTCGTCGAGCCCCGAGGAGCACCGCGCGACGTAAAGGCATGCGGTTTTCGTTTCTCTTTTACACGGTCGAAACTAGATACGTACGTTGCGATCATGCCCTTCTTCCAGTGCTGGCCGGAGTTTCTCAGGTACCAAACGCCGAACGCCGACAGCGCAACCATCGGCACGATGCCCAGAAAGATAATGTACATGGCCATTATGAAGTCGTTTCTCGCTGTAACGATCATCCAATTAGTTACGATAAACGAAATGTCGCAGACGACGATGGCCGTTCCGCAAAATCGAACGAAAGTCAATTCACCATTCGGATCATCCGCTGGTCCGCTGTCCTCGGAACCGCCCACGCCCGGCTGTGTGCAATCAGGCGGTCGGAAGCCGCGATTGCAGTGGCAATGGCCCAGACTGTTGCACACCCCGTTGTCGCCGCAATTATTGGGACACGCTTTCCCTCCGGATACGGTCGCGCGCAGATCAGCTACCGGCATGCATTTCTGATTCACGCACATCTAAACACCATCGGTAAAATTCATGTCAAGCGCATTGGAGACGCGAACGCCTCTAAATGGAATGGCCATCAGGAGTTTTGGAAATGTACAACCAAACGACACATTAATGGGGCTTGTTTCGTTACCTTCCCGGGTGCGCACTTGGCACCATCCGGCGCCAGGCCAGGATCCACTTGGTTCAGACCCAAATCTACTATGGCCGAACGACACGGTATTATCTTGCCACCGTTGTTGATGAACGAGTGACTCAGAATCGCCACGGACTCCATACCGAATTCTAGTCTCTCGTTCAAGTGCTTGCAGTGAAGCATTCCGCAGAGCAGATTCCTAAAACCCACGAAGAATTTCGAACGTCTATCATTAGCACTTATAGACTACGTTGATCAGAATAGGTAACACGTTTAGCATCCTTCGCATTGAACATTATGTGAAGAATACCTCGTCAAGTACCAGTAGCAAAGTAACTTTTAAATCTCAACAAGTGATCTAAGATCAACTACTCTGTATATCTAGGAGGTGTAAATCGGAATCTTACTCGTCGGTGCACTTTACGTAGCTGGACTCGACGCGATTGTATCCGCAGTTGCCGTGTTTCGTGCCCTTGTTGTTCATGTCGTAGCATTGGGCGTCGGACGAGGTGCCCGTGGGTCCCCAGAGCAGCTTGCATTGGTCGTTGTGGGTCCTGCAGGACCCTTGGTAGCAGAACGCCTTTCCCATGCTGCACGATTCCCCGTCCATCTTGAACACATCCACCGGGCAGTACTCGCTCTGCCCGGTGCAGTACTCGGGCAGATCGCACTCGTGTTCCGCGCTTCTGCACTCCGTGCCCGCGGTCTTCGGCCGACAGGTCTTGAGGTCGCAGCACTCGCCCGTGGCGCAGCTGGCGTTGCCGTGCAGCATGCAGGTGGTCACGTTGCAGCAAGGATTGTCGCAGTTCTCCTTCAAGCCACAGTCGCACTGCTCGCCGGGCTCCACGAATCCGTTCCCGCAAATCGGGCTGTCGAACAGCTTCTGCGGTTTGTTCCTCAGGCAGTAATCCATGCCGTGCTCGAACGCCAGAGCCAGATGCTCCAAGGAGCAGGTGGACCAGTGAATTGGTCCCGACGAGCCGCTTGACGACGCCATGATGCATCTGCGATTATAATAAATTGTTTAGATCCGTAGTATATACTGACAAGGGTTAGGCATTACAGTTTGGGACACTTGGCGATTCTTTTTTACAGAGTCTGATTTTAGTCAAATGTTAGGGTGCAGTTCGACCTACTTTTCTTCAGGGCACTCGCAGTCGACGGAGTCGTGCTCCATGCCGAAATTGTGACCCATTTCGTGGGCCACGGTGGCCGCCACCAACCCCACGACGTTCGAGTGATCCATGGAGACGCCACCGGAGAATTCGTACGTACATATCGGTCCCTTAAGAGCCTTCCCTACCACGCCCCCTTCGAACGAGATACGTCTGCAAGTATTCGAAACGCGTTTAATCGGGGATCCTTCGAGACGGTATTTCTCGATTTTCCGGACTTACGTCAACAGCTGGGCGTTATCGTTCGGCATGTCCTGGACCAGCTTCTCCCGTCTGTACCGCAGGAAATTCGAGAGGGTGGTGTCCCCGTTCGGAGACAGCGTTATTTCGTCCGTGTCGGACCATACTTGCACCCCAACTAGGGCGATGAATATGTTCAGGGGCATGTATAGCTGCAACGCGACACATATTTACTTTCACAGGACAAGCCCACGTACAATGGATTATGTATTTTATTGTATTTTATTCATTCAATAAATGAGAAGACCCGAAGTGGTGGAACATAATCGAAATAAGATAATATACAGGGTGTTCGGGCACCATTGAGAAAAATTTTAATGGGAGATTCTAGAAGCCAAAATATGACGAAGATCAAGAATACTAATTTGTTGATTGAGGCTTCGTTAATAAGTTATTAAAAAATTAAATTAAAAAATTTCAAATCGTTCTAAAAAAATTATTATCAGTTGCAGGAGTCAATTACAATCATTTTTGGTCAATAGACATACCTCGAAATCCTATCAACTTTCAAGAAAAAAATTCGAGAAGGTGTGAAATTATTCGACAAAATTAAAAAATTTCAAATCGTTCTAAAAAAATTATTATCAGCTGCAGGGGTCAATTACAATCATTTTTGGTGAATAGACATATCCCCGAAATCCTATCCACTTTCAAGAAAAAAATTCCTTACCGAGAATATACTGTGTGGCCGAACACCCTGTATTTTACACTATAGGATTCTCTCGTTAACGATGATGATATACTAACAGCGTTGATTATATTGGCGATGTCCTTGCAGTGATGGTACACCTTGTCCAAATTCTCGTCGAGGGCCATGTATTCCTTTTTATCGATCACGAGGACCAACTCGACGTATCGGGAATGGCTGTTCGCGTTGTAAGGTCCTCGGATCACTTCGGCCGCCCTCTTGTGCTGCAAGAAAAGTCCGTTTCCAATCACTATTCGTTCAACGTTCGACGCTCGTGAGCTTCTCGGGCGAGAAGATCGGCGGAAAAGTCAATCGGACCGTTGCGTTTCAAGACACATCGGGTTTCCAGGGGTTCTAACGACGGACAAAGATCGGTAACGATAGGAGGGCCTTCGAGAGCCTCGCGTACATCGTTCACGGTTGGAAAGAACGTTCTACGAGGCGTATCAGAAATACATGCAAACAGATATCCTTTTACAACTTCTACAATTTTTATTCGTTTCCGATGAACAAAAGATAAAAGAAGAAAAAATGATCGGACAACTGTTCCCTGAATAAATCCACCAAGGACGAGTTTTTCTAGCCTGAATTACAGACGATCCCTGTTGAGCGTTTGCAGGTATTTGTGAAACACCCTGTGTGTACCAGGACATAAATTTCTCGCGATCCTTTGGCAACGTGAAATCAATCAATAGCTTCGTACCCTCGTGGCCCTGTTGACGATCCCGCGATGCTCACGGTCGAGAACATGGTGCGTCGTTCCCTCGTAACCTGCGTCGAACAAAAAACTAACATCATCGTCGGTCGAGTTCCCGGTAAAGTTAAGGACAAAGAGACACGAGCGGCCCGGCAGAATCTCGCTCCCACATTCGTTAAGACCGTTAAGGAGAGACCAGTCGACGCGAGACAGGTCTTCCAGACCGGGAAAGGAGCGCGAGCAAGGGTAACAGCTACGATTCCATCCGCGGCTTCCTATCTAGCTGGCGAGGACCATGGGAGCTTTCAGGAATTTCGACGGGACCTGCCGGGTTCGTCGTCTGCTCAAAAATAGCGCTATGGTAGACGTTACCGCAGGTGTGATTGGCCAACAGATCGGCGTGTTTGTAGACGTAATGGTCCGAGTCCAGCGACTCCTTCTCCGGGTGGATGTGATGAAGGTTCTCGCCGTCGAATACGACGCCCCGTAACCCTCTGCAAGTAGACAACGCTACCCAGGAACCGGGAACGTCGCGGACGCTGCCTTGATAGTGGCAGAGCTCCTGCAATTTTAACGGAACATCTACTTTGCTAGTTCCTTTTAGGCAAACCTTTTAGAAAACATAGGTTTGTTAGGTATTTTAGGCCATAGATTGACCCTTTTATAGATCGTAGCTGTTTTGTTAGAATTACGATGACTTAAGGGCGGAGACTCATGTAAAATGGTAAAACGAGAAGCGATATTTGACAATTTTTTTACAGCATAAGGGTTTGATGAAATTTTTCGACACTTTGCACACATATTCCTTAACATTTTAAGATACAAATATTTTTTTTTCTGTTAAGTTTCATCACCTTTGGATGGAATAATAAATCCTTCGTAATAATAATTATTTAAACTATGTTTATTGCAAGAATGACTTTTTTGTGTTCAGAGCCGTGTACCTTCGACAATTTTGCATTCTTTAAAGAGGATTTCAGGCAATAAGGCGACCACAATCCGCAAAGGATTGAAGGAATCCGAGTTCAGACGATATCCCGTTGGAAGGGGAGTTCTGGATAGCGAATTATCTCCGGAGACCGCGAGAAATAAACGCGGGGGGGAGGCAGGTCGCGAGCCCGAGGAAGATTCTGGGGGCTGACGAAACTCGAGAATGAATTTTCCCCGGCTTATCTCGGATTCTCGGACGCGTTCTCCGCGTCAGCCCGACCGCTACAAATATAGTTGGCCCAGATTCTGGCTGCGTTCGTTCCTTTTCCTCGTTTTGCTCCTTGCCGGGGCGAGAAAGGATTCGTCGCCTCGAAACGCAAACGCCACGAACGAAAGATGATTTAACGCTCGATTATGGCACTTGGTCCCCTACCCTGTAACCGAGAACCAACTAGTCAAAAAGTTCTCCAGGAGACTCCCCCTTCCCTCTGAAAGATCGAATCTTACCGAGTCGGAAGCGCAATTTGCAATTTCTAGTACGGAATTTAATTTAGCGAAAGTTTCTTTCATCGTACGAGTGTGAGAGAGACAGAGGGAGGACAAAAGGCAATAATTACGACCGTTTCGACTGGCGAAACCTCTGAAGAGCATTCTAACTAGTTAGATTCGCAGAATTTCCACCATTTAAAACGACCGAAATTAGCTCGTCCGCTTGTCCCGCAAACGGCGAGCGCAAATAAACCGACGACGAAGAGAAACGGTGAACCGGTGGCGTCGGGAGAGGGACGGAGTGCGAAACAGACGGCAACTGGACGCGCCAATTCATTTATTCAATTGCGTAAAATGTGGAACCGACGACAACAGAGCGCAACGAACCCGGTCCCGGTCGATGAAACACGGTCCGGCTCGCCTGGCCCGATGCTTTATGCGTGGCCATTATCCGTGAATAACGCGCGTCGTAAAAATTTCTATCAATGGCAAAAGGTGTTCGAATCGTTGAAAAAAAGACACGGACGGCCATTTTTCTATCTGTCCCGGGCGCCCCCGACGCCGAGGAAAGGCCATTATTCTTACCCGGGTGATTCACGGCGCGTACGCGACGATACTGCTAATGGGGAACTCGCGAAAATATGAATTGCTTCGAGACACTCGCGACCGGACGGAAGAAAATGTCGCCGAGTGGCCATCTTCGTTCCACTTCCCCCATTTTTATCGTCGATCCGTCTTAACGCGCCGGGTCGGGCATATTTTATTTCAAAATAACGGTAATGCTTCTTGTACGTCGCTGTTCGATTTGAGAATACGAATACTACGACTGGTGTTTATTGATTCGAGAGAAATACGTTGGGAGCCATTAATGCCCCCCTTAAAATGTGTTTGATCGAACTAGCGACGCTCCAATTACTGCCAGATGACCAAATATTGTCTGGATTGACTCTTTGAGGCGCACGATTTTAGTAGAAAAAAAGTGAGGAAAAACGTTCGTTTCAATATTATTTAACAATATTATTTAAGATCAAAGAGTTTAAGACCTATTTGATCAAAAATTTCAAGTTCAATGATACTTCTGTGTTTTATTGGATTGCATGTTTGTATTAAAATTGTTTCCTACGTTATTTGTATTACAGTTTGAGGAAAAGAAATCACGAAATGGCCCAGAGGTGGAGGAATAAAGGCGAAGCCACCCTATTAAAGTGGCTCCACCCTAGGGGCTCGATGCTTTCAGCAGCTTTCCAAGGAAACATTTCGTATTTCCGTGCGGTCGATCGCGGACTGTTTCGAAGCATGTGATTTCCAAGTAAACTATTTAGCAGATGGACAGAGAGAAAACGGTCGCGACGGTTTAACCGAAACAGGGAGTGGTTGGACAAAGGCGAAGCATAGCTGAACGCTCTAGCCTCGGTGAATGCGTGCACGTTGATCGTCAACGTTATTTAACCCCCTCCTTTCCACACCTGCATCCAATCAACATTATCTATTCCTTTCCCCTTCGATGTATAACAATCTGTATATCGAAAATATAACTGCAAAAACTGGGAAACTTCCAAAGTGGAATTAGAAAGGGTCGATTCTTCCTTCCATCGCGTGACTTTAGAGACGATCGTTTCCCGCGACTATTTAGAGGCGTATCGAGCGTAAAAAAAATGGCCCATAAAAGTGAAACATAGAGTCGACGGTGTAATAACGATACAAATCGTCTGAAACTAATGTGTATCGAAACCGTTGGGCACGGAGCAGTTAAAGGGAGAGTGATCGATACTCTCGAAACGTCCACGCTTCTCTATATGTGCCCGTCGTCCTGGTCGGATAGTGAGTGAGTCACCGTTATCGATTCCTGCGTTCTTTACACCTGTGTTGTACCTGGCCAATGTTTTCGTTTCGAGGCAACGTTTGCTCGAGATTAATTATTGGAACTGGTACCTGCGTTCCATCCCCTGTTCGTCAACTCTAGACTTCGGATAAGCTAACGTTTTCCCAAGTATCCAATAAAAATAAAGAACAAGAACACCGCGACAGAATCGAAAAACAACAGTCACGGTAACGGAAATCCATACAGTCCAGAAATATCCGTAACGATTGAGATTGTTTTGATCATCGTAAACAGTTATTTTCGTAGCCGTGTTAGTAATTAGATTCGATTGCACTTACAACTTTCGACGGTGTGTGCACTTGGTACGCGCCACGGTGCTGATGACGCTGCTGATAGCCGACCGGAATTAGATCGGCGTTCAACCTGAGGTCCAGCACTTGTTTCACCCCATCCAGGTCGAAGCCCACCGTCAGCACGTCCGCGTGCTCGACGTCCTGAAAGCAAAAAGGCAGACGAGTTCGGTACGGGCCGGAATGGTTACTCGTGGCGGGGTTTCCTATCGCGTAACCGCCGCGTTTCCGCCCAAACACGCCCGATAAAACTCCTTCGAATCGACGTTCGAATGCATTATAATCGTTCCGAAGCTCGACATTATGCACCTGTTGCGCGCCGCCGTCGCAGTCGCCGAGAGGATCTAGATAAAAGAAGAAACGCGCCTGCGATCCCGTGGAAATCGATTCCACCCTCCTCCCCTCCTCACTTGACACGCCAGCCAATTATCTCGTCTTCTACAAGACGATAATCGCGAAATAATACACTACATTTTCTAATCTATTCCGTAGAAAATGGACGATTAACCCTTAAATGGACTCTCGATCTTCATTATTTTACTTAATGTTGATTTTTACCAAATTGGTAAATGAGAAATCAATTAAAAGGATTTACAAAATAGTGAACCAATGGAGGATTAGATAAATTTTTAAATAATTACAGTATTAGTTTAAAGTTGTGGGGGCCCCCATAATCCACTTGCGGGTTAAACAAGAAGTTTCTCAGAATTTTCAATATTTTCGAATGGGAGAAAAATACTGTACATGCTTGTGAGATGACAACAGCCTACCAATAATTAAAAAAAAAAAAAATCACTAAAGTACCCCGTTCGATCGCCGATGGGAATCATTCGGACTCGGCGTTTTCAGCGTTTCATTTTTCCGTCCAAACTCGATGGACGACCGCGGGACCGGAAAGTCGACTGTTTAAACATTTATCCTCGGTCCAGGCGAGCTTTTTCAACGCGTGCCGACCGGGCAAATGAATTTACGAATCTCGTTTGCGCCCTCGTGTGTCTCTCGAATCCACCCCATGTTTAATTCATAGGGGACGCGTCCCATTTCCTCCCTAAGAGGAAGCGTGTCGCACGCGTTGCGTACGCGTCCAAGGAATACCGTGCCGCGTATGCTCACTGCCAGCCAACCGAGGGTCGAGGACGTCGAGGCTGCGAGCATTTCTCGCTCGAGAATTTCGGTCACTGATTCGCCCGGTCTCGTCAACCGTCTGCTTGTCACGGCTTCACGCTCCACTGCAGCCACGAGACGACTCGGAACACAATCGCCGCGACATCGTTTCAGACTCCAGTTATTCCAACTTCGGGATTATCATTATGCCCCGGCGCTTTATCTCGTTTCCCCCTCACCTTCGCGGTAATTTATTATTCCACTCGCGCGTTCTTCTCTCTTCTCGTTTATTTCTCCCAACATGCTTACTTTTAATTGTACACGTTCGGTTTCATTCTCCTTTTCACGCGTACGAGACGCTCGGGTACCGCAAAGATCATTATTGCGTATATACTTCGGGCTACAATATAGCGAGGTCGTAAAGTCGAGTAGGTGTCAAAGTTTACACGGTTCAGCTCAAGGAATAAGTGAATTGACAGAAATACGAGCAATAGTGCCGCCATTTTTAGAGGTATCGTAACAGGTAAATGTCTTGATCAAGTCTTTAATATCTTATATTTATCTGCTTATAATATATAAATGTAGAAAATGAGAAAAGGTAGTGCAGTTACGGACATAAAAAGACATTCAGAAAGGCACCCTCAAGAGTTTAGTTTACGACCTCGCTATATCGTGACCCGAACTATACCTTCATAATCCCCTTCCTAAGAAGAGTGTAGACGTTCCCAAAGATTATAGCCAAAGAGTAATAAATACATGTATCACCTACACTGTCTCAGTCATTAATATACATCTACCCAACACATTTCTACGAAAAACGTACCCTCTAACAAAAATAGCGGTCCAAAGACTACTCCCACGAGACGAAGAAGAAGATCGTTAGTCTACGAAAGAACCTTAGTACGCGTTGATATAGATTCACCGGGTAAAATCGAGTCGTTGCACCGCGCCAGAGAACATTTTGCTCGGCGAAAAATCGAGAAATCGAAGGAGTTCCCAGCGCTGGCGATTTTCTGCCCGGAAGCAGGGACAAATGTCCGCCAGTTTCGATTACGTGGCAGCAGAAAAAGCATCGCGATACACGTCCGGCTGGTCCCCGTGATTCGCGTCGCAGGGCTCTATCGAACGAGAGCCGAATCCCAGGCGCGCGGTGAAAAACCTTCTACCGGGGTCGTACGTTTCAGATATTCCGTGCACGCGGCGAGGATGCAGCCGGGATCGACGATAGATGGATCCGCGGAATTCTCCCGGCGCGGATTCTATCATCGTCGTCCGACAGTTAGCAATCCATACCTGGCCGGACGCCAAACTGGGGAAAACGTTCCTCGATATTCCAGTTATCCGTTCCCGCGCCGTGACCCGTTCCGAGTCGATATCGTGAAACAAATGTAGCTACCACCCCCGAGGGGGGTTAGGGTTTTTCCTTGGCCTCTCCTCTAACCACTTACAGACGAAGCCTGCTAATGGCCGAATCGAACCTTTTTCCCTCGCTTTTTCGCTCGTGGTTTCCAACCATTCTTATCACCCGTTACCAACGACGCCCCTGGATTTATCAGATATTATTTACGAGTCTCTTCCCTGCAGATCCATCGGGGATTATACCTCGCGTTGGAGGATCTTCACGAATTTTTCATGATGATCAGACAAGCGTCCCCATTACTGTTTGCTTGGAGCAATTATAGAGAAGAATGAATACGAGATCGCATTCGAAGGACTCGGGGGTGGTCATTTGCACGAAAGTTCAGTTTATCTTTGGAAACACAAAACTCCCACTCGTGTTCGTGCATTTTAATGGTGGACTCTTATGAATTTTTGTCATTTGTAGAATAATAATATACATGCGGCTGAATGAATGACACGAATACAAATCTATATTTATCGACAACTACACATTTTAATTACCAACGTGTTAAATTAAAATTATTTGACTGGGATTTGTGACGCTTTTCCCCAGTTTCCCGAGGAGACAATTTCCGGGGCCTATCGATCGGGAGGCCTCGTTCGTTTTGGGAGTTGGGCAAGACCTTGGCTCGAGTCACCCTTAAAATTCGGTTACCAGGATCATCGTAATTCAGCCAGGGATGGTGAACGATTGTTCCCCTCGAAGAGGGAAGCTCGAGAGAGGCGTACTCGACGCATCGTACTCCCATGAACGTCATCCTCGTGTCTCCCATTCCGCCGCACCCACCAAACCCATTGTCGGGAATCTCTGTTTCTGCGAAACATGGTTCGCGACGCCTATTCCCGACACGCGTGGTTTTTCTTGTTTCGCGAAAAAAGGAGCCCCGGGAACACGGAACATCCGACGCGAGCTCGTTTCCGGCGAGTATCCTTGTCGCCGTTGTCGAATCGCGACGGAACTACCACGAGCATGGAAAAGACGCGTTACATCGTTTTTATAGGGGATTTAATACGCTGCATTTTCTGTGATCACCGTAATTTTGATAGCGCCGATGGCTAACGAGATACGAACGAGAAAACCGTGACTCTGGAAAATCTATTCCGCCTGGATTACGATCGTAGAGATGGATCGTAGCCAAAATTCCGACTCAAAGATAAAGCACAAAGTACCGGAGCCATTAAGGGAGATAAGCCAACATTGGACCGGGCCTTTGTTTCGAAAAGCAGCTGGTATCAGAGAGCCAAACACGACAAATTCTTAAATTACCTTCCAGAATGCACTTCCAAACAAAAGCTAACGATTACGCGACTATTAACCCTTTTGTTTGGTACTTTACGATCGTGCACGACTCGTTAAAATTCACACAAATGTTGCAATATTCTTTGACAACGATTATCAAATCACCAAAAATGAAGGACTCGAAAAATATTCGAGGACCGAAGAGATTAAGCGAAAGTCACAGGCCATTATTGAATTCCATCAATCGAAACAGCAACGACGAGCACCTGGTCATTTAAATTCGCTAATGACTCGTGGAGCTTCGCGATTTTAATTGCACCGCGGTTCGTTTGTTCGATTGCCGCGGTCGCGGAGAATTCATTGTCCGATATGTTCGTTGATCGATTGCTAGACTGGTCGATGTTTATCTGCCGCGCTTGGTCAAACACAGACAGCGATCGTACGCTACGTTATCTCGTTGGTTTTTATCATTTTCACTTCCCGAACCATAAGGAAGACGTGCATTGTACCAGGAATCGTTTCGAAAATCGTCTTTTTCGCCGGGAAAACATGTTTGACGTTCGTATTTTCACCGGTCGAGACGAACGTTTCGATTTACACGTTCGTGTGTACACAAACGAGAATACTCCTTATTTTTCCCACCGTTTTTCAATCGGAACTCGCAACACCACAATGATACGCATTACGGCCATAACCGTGAGATTTATCGCGTTAATTTCGAAATAAGCGCAGTTTCGCGAGCTGGGTTCGCAATTACCGTGGCCAATCTGTCTGCGGTTGGTTGAACGAACAGCTCCAGCGACGACGTTAATATTAACGAAAATAGCGCTCGGGCTACGATTGTTTACGGCGATTAAACCCGCGCAAAAGACGCGCTAATTATTCGAACGGACGGTAAGCTTCTTGGAAATTCGTGCGGTTAACGAGGTTGCGGCGAGCTCTGTACAATGTATGCCAACGTACAGAGGGGCTCTTTGTAGGTGCGTCGCGTAGGATGAAAGGCATCTTTTAAACTGGTCTCGGCGACTAGGTCGAGGCTAGAAGAACAAGGAGGAAGTAGGAACCGTCGTTTCCGTGTCCTAGAGGTCCCTGATACCGTCAAAGGGACCGCCCCTCAACCCCCAGGACGCCGCTTCTGGAAATGATTAACCGTAATCTACGCGGAAATTTCCATTGTGCTCGACGACCGTTTTTCGGTTTCACCGACCCGCAACTGCGTCGTATTCGCCCTTTATCGCGGCTTCGCATTTCCTAATAGCCTGTCAGTTCCATTCTGATAGCTGGAAAACCCATACTTATTTATCGAAGAACGACAAAGGTTCACCGCATTTGATAAAACGATGCTGGGAAGATTAGAATTCTTAGGTACTTGAAATGTCTCAATTTTCTTTTTGTACAAAACTTTGACGTTAATTTTTCCAAATGCCAGGTCTTAGAATAACTCGAAACGAAAACAGTTGTTGTATTATACTTTCTGTGTTTACTACCAGAGGGCTACGCTCAACCTGTACCTTTCTCACAAGTGCTCGACTGACCATTGAATGTCTCTCCTATCTCAATTCCTCCTATAACAGTAAGCTGCCACAAAAGAACAATAAATAAATTTGAAACAATAATTTCCCTATTTAGGAATATCCTGAACGTTTAAACTTTAGAGTGAAAAACGAAAGAAAAATTGTAATGCGAGTTTCGAGCGTTTATCGTTGCCCTAAATTGTGGATGCGTTTAACGAATTTCCCTTCGAGTTTGCAGTTTACCGTCTCGTCATCGGCGCGTAAATTTAAGCGAAAAGCAGTGCATCTGGGATGTGCCCGGCCGCGATAGAGAAACCACTCCATTTCCCTTTGTGGCCGGGAACTCGTGAGCCGGATAAAAGGAACCTACGCAATCTCTTTACCCAGACTTTCCTCCCTTTTCGCTGCTTTCTTCCCGGGCGCGTTACAACGCCGACAGGACTATCGTCGAGTGGTTTCAGAGCCCGGTGCACGATAAACTAGCAAACAGGGTCTCGAGACTTTATCGAGGACCACCTCTCGCTCCGATTTATTGGCTTCGGCTGCGGTTTATTTCGTTTCCATTCGCTCCAAATCCGCCCACTTCTCTTCGTCGATCGGGAAACTGCGTTTTATTAATCCTCTATGCGTCTGTTTTACGAGCCCGGCTTACGCGCAACGACCATACCCATAACCCTGCATATCGATGATATTTAAGCAATTCGACGCCAAAGTACTTAATGGGGGGGAAAGGTACACGATGTAGAATGTCGATATCTCCACGTTAGAAGGGTCACGTACGTCCCCTTAAAATAATCCGTATTCCTCTGCTTTGGGGTACGTCAAGTTGCAAATAGGAAGGATAACGATCTTTCTGAGGTGTCGATACGGTATTTGTCCCGTCGGTACTTACAGGGACGCGATTCTGAAACCGATGAAACGCATACATGTATCTTAACGAGATTCATTATATGCTCGCTTTCCTCTCGGACTTTCTTAGCAAGCGGAGCATGAGTGGCCCCGAGTGTTTCCCCTTAACGCCGTGCTACATAGCCAGCAAACTATTAAGAGGCAATCTTGCGAAACCCTGTTCGCCGTCTTCGTTTAATAAAACTGATCTAGCATCGAGGTAGTCGCGTGTCGATCCCGAGGCACGATCGAAGCTCCGATCTCTTAAAACAAACTTACGAGCACTTCGCGTTCGCTACACGACGAATTATACATCTGTTTTGACGCGATTTGGATGGCTGTAATCGCTGGAGTGCAAAACAATTTCAGCGAGATCGTGGGCCCTCGGGCGCGCCAACTTCCGCTCTTAATAAGAATTAAATATCACGGCATTTGTTTTGTTTTATTACCAAAAATTAAATGCGAAATTAATTCCAGAGTAAGGTATTTTAATACGAGAAAGATTGATTTGTGTTTCTCGTTGGCGAACAGGATCGACAGCTAGTTGCGACGAATGGTAAGCGAGACTGCGTGACCGGAAATTAGATTCGTCGCCGTGGACAGACGCACTGATAGCGTTCATTCTTCCCCGCGATAACGAGAAACGAGGTCAATTGCCCTGTTTCGTCGACGCCGCTGGATCGCCAGTGTTTAGGATCCAACGTATTAGGCAACCGACTTCTTAGTTCCTACAACGATCCCCTTTTTCTCTTCCTTGTTCCCGATTCTCGCGTACAACCCGGCTTCCTCCCACGAATTAAGAGAACGAAACGACTTTGCTCCGGGTCGATTCCGTTCGAACGACGCTTCCGGGGTACTTTTCTTTTTCGATCGGCGTTCGAGGCGATTGCTACTGTTACAAACGAACCCGGCTATAAGTAGATACCATTCGAACGAACGGTAGTTTTTCCACGGAAGTTTATCCGCGATCGTGTCGATCGCATGCGTTCTGCAAAGGTTCTCTTTTAATCTCTGTCCTCTTTTTTCCCCCCCGACGTCGAATCCGTAAATCTCCCGGAAGCGTCGGAGTTCGGAGGTCGAAGCGCCGGAAATAAAACAATTTTTTAAAAGGCCGTTCTAATCGATCTCTTCGTTGTCGTAAAATAATACCAAGTTTACGTATCGTTTACCAAAGAGTAGTACGGAAAAGAAATTTTAAAGTTTATAATTTATCAATCGGTGAATTATCGAAATGTGCTCCGAGCAAACGGTAATGTAATAAATGGGACAGGCTACAAAATTAATGGTCCTGGGTGCGTTGCGGCTGGTATAGCGTGCAGGAGGACTATTTGTTTATTCTCGCTGTCTACGTTAATGCTTCCGAAAAGCTTGCAAACAACGCCGAGCCACGAACGCGTGGGTGCAAGTAGCTCTCCACTAGTTGGAACATAATGAAACTTTGCTCCTCGGGACCTATGTATATTAATATAACGTCGCGTTTAGAAGAGGACCGTGCAAGAGACATTCGCATAATCGTTTTTAATAAATAGACGTCGCCCTGTAGCAAGCCATAATTAACGCGAACGTCACTGTTCTCGAGTACAGCGACCGCAGCCGTCTTCGTCGAGTCTTCTGCTTTACGAATAAACGGAATTCGCATTCCTTCTTCGCGTTTACGCATTAAACTAATTTTCGTTCCGTGAATTTCAATCGTCGCTCGAGCAAGGAATGAAATTTGCTTCAGAGCTATTTGTTTATCCCCGTCGTCTGCGTTAATGGTTCAGCAAAAGGCAACAAACGAGCACCGGTGGCGAACGCGTGGGCGCGAGGAGCCGGAACACAGGTAAAACTTCGCTCCTCGGGGTCTGTGTTTACCCTCGTACTGCGCGTTATCACCGAGAGTCGCGCGTGAACGTTAAATCACCGCAACCAGGCGGAGGGAAAACGTGGTTTCGTTCGATCTCAATTACGGATCAGCCTCTCGATATCGATCGGCTCCCGCCAGAAATGCCGCAGGAATGCCCTGTTTGTTTTGTTCCGTGCCCGGTGTGGCGCTCTTGAGATGATCCAGCGTACGGAACAGCCTCGAAAATAGCTCGGTACAAAACGCCTCTCGGTAACATCTGTTTTCCCGAACCGCGTATTTAAGCACAAACGGGGAGTCGAACGGGAATGCTCGCGATATGCAAGCTACCGGGGACCAGATATCCACGACGATACCAGCAACCGAATTTCCGTCTCGATCTCTCGACTCCTAGGCTGCAGGGTAGGTCTGGGTTAGCGCCGCGATCTTGGATTTCGTATTCCCGACGCAACGCGACATTTGCATCGAAATTGTTGCACCCGACGACGCGACGGCCCGTGCCCTGCATTTCAAGTCCCTCCACAGCTCGAAAATGCCCTCGCGCCTCTCCATTACTCTCCGCTAATTTCACCTACGTTCTTACCTATCGGGCTAACGAAATAACTGTTGTTGGAAAACAAATTTCTATCGACGCGTTCAACGACGGGGCTGATTTCCCGGTATTCGATACTGGAGGGTTCTTAAGAGATAACCGGATAGCTGTTGCGATCTCTGATGGTGCTGGAATCGGTTTAGTTGGCTGAGTTCCTGTTGGCTTTGCAGTCTGAATTGGTTACGATACGATTAGGATTTCAATGCATTCCTCTGTCAAGTTTACTCGCGTTAAACAGCAAAATGTAACTACTCTTTACGGCAAAATGTTACTCATTGCTTCAGGACGAGTATACTCGTCATAACATAAAATGTTGCTCATATCATCGTGACGAGTATATTCGTCGTAACATAAAATTTTGCTCATATCATCGTGACGAGTATATTCGTCGTTACACAAAATGTTGCCCATATCTTCACGACGAGTATACTCGTCGAAAGCAGCTAACTGGATGAGGGGTTAACAGATTATAATTTGAAACGAAGTAGCATAGAATTAAAAGCGTTGTTCGTGAATAAGATTGGGGCGAGTGTGTTGGTTTGGAGTAAGGAGAGGAACGTTACTCACGTTTTCTTTGGTCGAGGAGATCTGGCGCTTGGTCCTGCCATGATAGACGCGCGGCCTGACCACCGTGTGCCTGCTGAAATCTGGGGACGGTCCTGCAAACAGAGGCGGAAATCGTTAGAGAAACATTCGTCCCTTTGTCCCCGTTTAGCGCGCATTTTAACGAGCCGGGAAGCCCCGTTTGAAGGGATAAGCGGTTCCCTGGGCACGGTGGACAGAGTATTTCAGTCGCTGGCAAGTGTCCCGCGGGAACGCTTTTGTCCCGAAATTCGCGCGACTCGCGTTTGCCGTGCTCGCGCGCTTCCACGCTAATTACATCGACAGAAGTCCTTGACATCGAGCCCAACAATGAACAAGCCTCTCCGAACCTCGAGGGCTCCTCGGCCAATTTTCGCGAACGCGACCGACCCTCCGGGCTTCCGTTTTCCAGGATTATCGACCGTTCTCCAGCGACCGTGCACGTTTCGCAAACTTCTCGACGACTTTTGACGCGCGCCGCGAGCACAATACGCGGCTAACGTTATTTTTATTCTGCACGGTAAACTCGTTGTTATCGCGAACAGTCGCGCGCGTGGTATTTTCACCTCGGTCTTGAACCTCCGGCAACCACGTGGGAAATTAAAGATAAACATACTCCTGGCGAAAACCGCGCACGGAGGAAGATCTAAATATAATCCCGCTGATCGATTAGAACGGGCATGCGAAACTCCTGTTCGCCCCGAGGGCCAATTTGCACTTCCCCATCCATCGCGAAGCCTCGGTTACGTCCGCCATTTTAAAGAGTCGATAATATTCTAGCCATCTTCTAGCTTTAAACAGGAATTGTTGGTTCGATAAATAAATACTGCGTATCGAAAAAGATAGACTGTTTTGCGTATGCACGAAGATCGAAGAAAGTCGCTTTATTTGTGGCGGTGGTAGAGGATCGTAGGGAAGTCCGACACGATTAAAATAAAAAGCTGATAAAGCAAGAGGCAGAAAGTTAATGGGCCTGGCAGCCTGTTTGATATCTCTGGATTAGAGGGAACAGCTCCGGGGGGGTTTGACGTTCGGCCTTGATCGCGGCGCAGCCTCCGCTCGATTCGGCCGGATCGAAGCGGTATCCGCCCGCGGAGGATGCATAATCTGTCCGCTTCGGAACGGACAACGTTATATTCCAGCTAGGAGAGGGCTTGGCTCGCGATTCGTCATTCTGTCGAGTACACGCTCTCGAGCGTGGGCCGCCCGGGCGTAGGTATTAAATGAGCTGTAATTATTGCTCGTCGCTTTTGCCCGTTTCGCGCTTGCATTTCACGCCTCGCTGCGGTAACCGGCGTTTAAGGAGGTTTATAGCAAAAAAATCCGTAAAAAATTCATCCTACCTTTTCTTTCGAACCTTCGCCGCGCGACCATAATAACACCGCGCCTGCTTAACGTTTAGAACGACACGAAAGAATTCGAGAAACGAGACTCGTTTCTTTGCAAAATTTTCGGTCGTTCCCCAGGAACGTTTCGCGGCTGAAAAAATCCTGAAAGCTCGAAAAATTCGACGAAGGTCATGGTCGCATTGAGGGGGAGGGGGGGAGCTCAAAGATGACCCATTTTTTGATACGCCAGAGCGAGAATCCCCCCGGAGCAAACAAGGAAAAAGAAACTATACTCCGACTGAAATAGCGCCGACGCCTTTGTGCTGTTTTAATCCAGCACAAAAGTCCCTCTCTTTTTTGTAACAACAAACATCGGACGGGGATTCTCGAGAACATCGACAATAGCACGGCGAACCTCGCCGCGCGTAAATAATTCGAGTTTCTTCTCCACGCGAAGTTTCTACCGTCGGACGGCTGGAATTTATCAAGGAATTCAGTTAGCACGGATTTAACCGAGCACGGTAATTTGCATCCCCTGGACGAACCCGCCGAATTACGGAAGAAACGCATCCAAGAATCCGAGACGTTGCAATTCATTAACTTCGTTTCAACGTGGATTTGCACCGTCGACGTGGTGCGATTTATGGTTAACGAATTTCTTCTTGAATTAAAAGAAGTGCCATTGAGCACTTTCGAATTACAATTCTCCACGTATGTAGGCGAAAAAGAAAAAAAAAAGAAAAAACTTACGCGAGACTTTCGTTTGAATAACAATTTCTGCAATAAAAGTGACCTTTTTCGTACAATCGACGAATAAAATTGATCAATGTACAGAACGCATCTGCAGAGTGACGCAAGTCGCCCGGTCCTAAACAATGAAAAAAAAAGAAAGGTGTTCGGAGGGTATCGAGCTGACGATCGATCCGGACGAGGTCCTGAGGCTGGAAGCAACGTAGCCGTCGATCAGGGATGAACTAGGTCACCGTGGAATTTTGATTGGCCGTTTAAAGCGCGGATCGGCGCGGCGATGCCGCGAGCGGAACCGTCCGCGACGCGCGAGCACATGTGCACCGTTTATGGGAACGAGATTGACGTCAAAAGGGTGACGAAGGGAGAAAAACGCGCGCGGAGCAAAAAGCCCCGGGCCAAATGTACGCGTGGAAAGAGTCGCGTCGATGGCTCGAACCTTATCCCGTGACGCAAACCACGCGACAGAGTCCCTACCGCCCCTGCATATTTTTTTACAATTTCGGGTCCTGCGAAACGCAACGGTCGTTTCCTGTTGCGAACCGAACTCGTGTCACCGATAACTATTTGTTTTTAAGAGGATCTGTTATGAGTTTCAGCATCGCCAGTCGAGGGAGGGGACGGAATTTGGTAAAAATTGGATTTTCCCTGATGAAAAAACGACAGAGCTTTTAACTTTCTCCTTAGCGAGGAGTCCTGTCCGTCCATGCACGGGCGACACGGGAGTAAATGCGTTAATTCGTCGCGGATCTAATTGGGTCAACGTCAAGCGCGAATCCATGCCTTAATTGCATCCCGATCCTCTAACGGATTTAAAGCTATCCCAAGCCCGACGGTTGGTCGGTCGCGTTACGGTATTCGATTTGTCGTTAATTTCCTGTTGCCGTTCCGACAGGAAATCAAAACTGGTCCGTTGCTGTTCCAACGGCGCGAATCCTGACGAGCCGATAATCGCGTCCTCGAGTTCTCCGGCCACCGCCATTACAGTTTCTCGCCGCGACCTCGAGGTCATCTTCTGTGTCGCGCGTAACGGTGAACAAACGTAAACGAGACCATCGGAGCCGCTTATGGCGTCCAGCCGACGCGACGCAAGAAATTCGCCCGGTTTTTCAGGCTCGACGAAATTAAATCGTACGTTTTCTTTGGAACAAAACGTCGCTAGTCTCTATTTCGAGCGCAGCCATGATCGATCGACCCATGGCGGCGTTCTTGCGAGCGCGAACGCGGCATTATCTCGAGTATCTCTGTCCCCGGACGAAATTCGGGTTAACGACAGAGGTCTAACGCGAATAAAATGAACCCGATACGAGAAAGTAACAGTTGTTCGCGCGGGCTGAAATCCCCTCGCGCAAAGAACGCGGTGATAAATGGCGCGGGGAACAGTTAAACGCGGTCATTGGTAAATCGTCCCGTCGTAAAATCCAATCCCGAGATCTACGCGAAACGAGCGCCATCGTAAAGACTCGGTCCTCGAATAGGAAAACGGCAACAAAATTTTGCACGGTTAAATTCCATCTCGTTCTATCTTCGTCACGATAAACTCTTATACGATTCAAAAGTGTCAGAAGTTTGAATAATTTATATAGATTCTAGTTCCTGTCATCAATTTCCATGTTTTCAAACATAAACAAAATACTAAGAACCCACATTGCGAACGTTTGGAATTGTTATAATATAAAAATTACTGAAACAAGTTTTCCCTTTGCAACGGCGTAGTATAGAGAGCTGTTTTCGACGAGCAGTATTATGTTTTTGCAGTTAGACTCGCGGTTTGGTGTACGCGAGAGACACGGAGGGAAAAGTTTGAGAAACGCTGTCGGCGTCAACGACGTCCGTCGTAAAACGGTGCAGAAGGGAGTGGCGGCGACGAGGACGAGGACGAGGGAATTAGCGACGGTCAATTAGGTCGTCGTTAATTCGGTGTGCAGCGCGCATACGCGCGAGCGAGCGCGTTCGGGCATATGCGGAGGCGGATCTGCGTTTCGTGTTCCCAGGCCATGGCGTATCCCGATTTCACATGTGTCCCCTCGCGGCCTCCGACGAGAGAAATCCAGACCCGCCAGCCTGAGAAGATTCGACCGAATTCGGCAACCGGTTCGTTCAAAGACCCCCTTCGATGCAATTAGGGGATCGGTGGTCACTGGTGACCGGCGCTCTCGACCTACGTACAACACGTAGCAATTAGTGACTGTATATTTTCCATACGAAGCAGTCTGCGATTTTCTTTTCAAAAGATGATAAAAATATATCACAAGTTTGCATAGAATCGATAACAGTAGAAAGATTTTACTTTGAATCGGGGGTTGTAATGAGACCACAAAGGGTTAGGTCCCCTGGGGCTTATGGTCCCGCCATTACCGTCTAGACGCAGGTATCGATAGTTTTAGATTCCCGTAACTTCGATTCGAGAGATTCTACCCGGTCGAGGAACATTGTTCATCGAGGATGCCGGAGAGTCTCGGGGCTAGACGCTTTCGAATTAATTGCAACGTGAATGAACGAAGCCGAGCTCGGTGAATGGACCAATCAGGGCTCCATTTCTGCACTGCTTCGTCGATCCCCGTCTGTGCTCGTTAGTCAATTAAACTTCGTAATTATAGCTGACTCGGCGGTTCGGTTCCCCGAGATAGAGAGTGGCATCCGACGGCGTGAGTCATGACGGATGTTGCGAACTGCTCGATAATTTACCTACGCAAACATCGAACTCTTCCGCGTCAACGGCGTCGTTCGGGGCTCTTGTGTCTAGGTTGCCGAAAGCTGAACAAGCTTCTGATGTCTATTCCATTCGTCTACCCTGGCTGAAACGGAATTCGTACCGTATTTACAGGCTTCCGTTTCGCCTGTTTCCGTTCGCGTTCGCTGTGTCGTGTGCCCTCTTTGTTCCCCGCTGAGTAAACTAGTCTCGTTATCCTAATACCGAACGATTCTAGAAAACTCAGACCGGACGTAACTCTTTTCCAAATCCAAATGGATGTTTTCGAATCGCTTTACGACCTATCGAA